AATAAGATATCCCAAGCATCTAACATCTTCATACCAACTTGTACGACTTTTATTTTCTTAAGTTTCTGTCTACATTCTTGTTCTGAAACTATGGTTGCTCTTGGTTTGTTAAAGACAACATCCCATTCTTTCATGACATAACATTCTGGGGCAGAGTCAACATAAATGACTAAACGTTTCAAATTCTCGACTGCTTTGTTAGTCTCTAAATGGACACATATTTCTGAATGCTTGGAAGTCATAAAAATCTGAAACATCTATTCTGTACATTTTTATAAAAATAAAAAAAATATTTTTTTTATTCTTGACTTTGTTGTTGCATTTGTTCCATTTGTTGCATTTGTTGTTCTTGAGCTATTTGTTGTTGAAGTTGTTCTTGTAGTACAATACTTTCACCAGTTGCATCTTCCAATTCGAAACTTTCTGCCGTCATTGACAAATACATAGGACATAAAAGTTTTACAGGAACAAAGTTTGCGTCGACTAAGGTTAAGTTTATGTTTGCTAAAGTGTTTGAGTTTACTAAAGCTGAAAACTCTGCATTCGAATGAACAATAGGCAAACCAGCAGAGAAAGTGTTGTTTATACGCATGAGTATCTTTTGGTCATAGTAGTTTCTGTCGATATTCGAATAACACTTTGAACCTAAGTTTGAAACAATATATAAGATTGGTGTGCTTAATGTCAATGGAACAGACAAACCTTGTATGACACCTTTTCCTGTTATAGGAAACTGTTGGTAGTAAAAACCAGAAATAAGTTTTGTATTATAGCTCATATCGTTTATAGTAAACTCAGTCGGACATCCAAACATAATGAAACCTGCTCTAGTTGCAGCACATGTTACATCCGTCCTTAAAGTATTAAATAAGTCAACAAAACCTGTTGGTGGTATATCTGAGTAAGTATCTTCAAAGGAGTATTTTTTACCATTCACAAACAACAAAGTCTTCTGGTGTCAAAAGAGCAAAACAGGCTTTAGTCGTCATTGTGTTTAAGGTTAGTTTACAATATCGTCCTTGAGGACTTTGTAAGTTTGTTGTTATAGAATTATATGACTCAGGGTTTTTAGTCGTAATAGTATAAACCACTATGTCTTCTGCCATTTACTTAGCAAATAAATTTTAATGAAATGTTGTGGTCGTCAAATATTTTTATGACGTCTGGGAAACTATATTTTAAGTTCAACGTTTCACCTCCTTTCATAACGTATATCTTGTCAATGACATTATATGAAACACCACAGCAAGCAATGTCGGGTTCTATTTCTTTGATGTTTATATCGTCTGCCTCTGTCAAAAGTTTCAATAGTTCTTTCAAAAACTTCATGAGGTGCAATGACATATGAGTTCACTTTTACAGGGTTGTGCTCAACCAAGTTTAACATTATACCTAAAGCCTGACAAATCTTCTCCTGAGTTTGAAGTTTGTCTTTAAGTTGTTGGTAGTCGTTTCGAATATCTGCAACAGAACTTAAGTCTCTGCTAACTTCAGGATATGTTGGTTGTTCTTTTACAGGAACATTGCTATACCATCTTCGTCTTCGTATGGTTTCCCCACTTCAACATCTCTTTCTTTGACATTGACAACAACACTTTGACTTGTTTGAGTTGGTGAATTTAACTTCACATCTGCCACCGCCATTAAACCTTTTTGAAACACTTACGCTTCTATTTTTCGGAAATGACATTTTACTTAGAATAAAAAGATGGACGTATTTGAGTATCTCTTCGAATGAAGCAGAACAAAGTTTACACACACAAACAATACAAATACATTGACAGAATAGTTCTTTATACAACAATGGTAAATGTTATAGAATAGCAGTCTTTGCTAACCAAAATATTTCAAAGCAAAGAAAGTTGGTATAACTGAATGGTGAAAGTTCTTGAAGCAGACAAAAATATAACAACAAAACTTACAGATATTTCTAAAGGTAAGTTTATCTTACAATTTTATGTCAAAACTGGCGTACTGTCAATATTTGACGGAGAGAGTCAGTTCAAGAACAACTTACTGACTGCTGCCAAAATCTGCTCGATGGAAGCTGTCGTTATACCAATCTGAGGAGCCCCAGCAGGTTTCATCGAACGAATTTTCAAAAGAGCATCTTCCGTGAAAAAGTGCTATTGGTTTTGTAAACTTCTTTGCTTTCAATTCATTTGGACCGTCTCTGTCACCAGTATATTGTATTTGAACTGTACCAACAGTTGAAATACCACCATAAAGTCTTCTGAGTCAGCAAATGGAATGCCAAGCCAAAAAGTTTGAACGGTCTCCATTTGTATATTGAGTTTTTTGACCTCCTGTATGAGTCCATACTTTCACATATGGCATAATAGAACTTTGCATTCAGGGTTAATGGTTGTTGTGAAGTTGTTGTTAAAGTTCATAGCATCTAATGTCAAGTTGTATGACCTCATATCCTCAACTGTAGAATATTCTTCTCTTGGATAATATTTGCCATCTATGTTTATATGATATTTAATACCAGGGTTGTAGAAACAAGAATAGTCATTTATAGTTCGTTCTGAACAGTACAAACATAGTATCTGCATGTTTCATTGCAGTTGTTAAGGCAATATCTGTTCTTGCACCTGGGTCAGCACTTTGGTTTCCAACTTCACCTGCAAAGTCTTTGACAGATATTTGGTGTATAGGGAACATAAGTGGAACTGCAATATATTTGGCAGCTAAAGCATTTGAAATATCTGGGTCCAACATATAAACGGCAAGTCTGCTTTCTATTCTCTTGCATTCAAACTGTTCGCATGTGAACTTAACTGGGTCCCAAGCAGTTCCAGCAGCATTGAAATAATAGTTTACTTCAGTGTTGAAGTTTGAGAAACCAAAGTCTAAGTCAACTTTGTCTTTGCAAAAGTCGGCGAATGACGTTTGATTTGCTCCCTTTACGTCTGTAAGAGTGAATGGGTCTTGTGTTGGTGCAATGACTAAGTTATTTTTGCTTGGAGTAAGTTCGATAGAAATTTTCCTGCCCAGTTTGGCAAGTATCTTAAAAACCTGAAGATGAGGAAAGATGACAAAGGAACTCTAAGTTTCAGTTTTACTTTGGTTACTGCTGCTGCAGTTTGTCCAGAAAGGTTAACATAAACTCCTGGAACGTTAGGGTCAAGTCTTCTTATTTTCTCAATAGTTGCATACTGGTCTGTTTGTTCTCTAGCTTGTGGTTGTACTGAGTTTCTCAAAGCGAACCATTCATAGTTTGCCCATGTTACTGTTTGAACTAAGTCAGAGTTAGAATATATCTTATATCCCATGAAAACTTCTGGAGCATATTGGTATCCGACATAGAAAATTCCATTGCAACCTTTCTTGTCAGACAACTTGGCAGAAGGTTTTATTTCAATGTCTTGTTCCACGTATAAGAAAGAGTTGTCAATAGAAATTATATGAAACCTGTCGCAAGCAATATCTACTGTTGTTGAAGAACCTTCTCCAAACTCACCTACGTTTCCATAAGAAACAGCAGTTGTATATTCGTAAGTTCCAGGAACTATTTCTGACCTTCTAATGGCATTGTCGCATTCGTTATACCATTCGGAAACATTTCCATTCATGGCATCCAAAACTGTTGGCGTTATATTCTGAGCGGCGTACATTTCATATGAGTAAAAATATAGAATAGTTGGATTTATATGTCATAATAGAACCCACTCCGACCAAGCTACTTTCTTCCTGACTGAGTTTTTAACTCTTCTTTTTCCTTCATTGCCCTCTGCTTGAAGTTGTTGCATCTTTGCATTATGTTCATCTAGTATGTTGCAAATTTCCCATGTCCTTTTTGCCTTTTGGCTCTGGTCGCCCATCTCAGGTAACCTATATCCTAGAAAGAGTTTGTCATAGTCTGTATTTGAGTCTTCGCGTATTGTTTGCATGACTCTTTCCTGAGTTTCTGGTTCAAGCTCTTCAAACAGTGCCTGTCCATATGGAATATGCTCGTTTCCAAATATATGTTTTTGTAGCCATTCTGGTTTTCTTTCCATGTTACCAACAATATCTTTTGTGAATGGGAAAGCTTTTACCAATCTTTCAGTCTTGCGTCGTTTATTTCTGTAGTTGGTTTTATTTTGTCAAGGAACATGTTTTTCAATACTAACATTTCATTTGGTACTGTCCATTTGAGTTTTCTTAAATATTCATCCCTTCTCGGTTCATTGTCTGCAAAGTAAGTTTTTATGACATTTTGTAAACTTTCATTTGCAAGGTCATGTACAATAGGTTCTCTTCCTTCTCTGTCCATAACTTTCTTTCTAAACTCTTCACCAAATATACCATCTCTATGGTTCTGTGTAGTTCTTTGAGATAAATGTTCTAGAACGTCAGGTGTTATATTTCCATCAGCCATGTTCATTTCATACTGGTCCAAAATATCTGCATGTTTCATATCTTTCAATGGCATTAAAGCCGCGCTGAAAATACCAGCTATATCTGGTTCACCATTCACTTCCATTGCGTCTACAACTTCTTGGAATTGTGGTTGTAAGTTTATGAACCACCTATCTGGATTAGCTTTATGACCCCATCTCATTGTAGTTCCATCGTCTGCAGAAACAAAAGTAGGTTTGTTTCCATCTTGGTTAGGTTCTGAATGAACTTTAAACAATGTTTCATTTCTATATGTTTTCTTGAAATTTAACCTTTTATTTTCACCGAGTTCATCCGAAGATTGAACGTTAAATGCTCGTAAGTAAAAAGGGTTGTTGTATTTGTGTACATTTTCTTTCAGTGCTCCATTCTATGCTGAATATTTTCATCTGGTGTTGGAGTCTTTTGTATGTCGGCGAACATTTTTCGATATTCTTCTACTATGTCAGCCGAATTTTTTTTAGACTCTTGGAAATATTCCATATTCTCCGCATACTCTTGTTGAGGGTCAAGATTTTTCGGCTGTTCCAAATCTTCATCTAGTTCTGTGAAGTTAGTTTCCAAAGGAGTGACTTGTTCGTTTCCTTCAGGCTCTTCTAGCTGTTGTTGCTGAACTATTTCTTCCATGTCTGGTTGTATCTGAACTTCTTCCTGTGGAGTTTCTTGTACCTCATCTGCTGGCATTTCATATATTCCGAGACCGTTTTTAACAAGTTCCCTATTTAAGTCATCTGCATTCATAAGCCTTTCTTCTTTCGTTCCGTCTCTATTTTTTACGCGTTTCATGAAGATAGTTGAATCATCATTTATCTCTGACATAAAATATCTCGGAGTAAATTCAGTCATGTCATTTGGACGATATGCTATTAAATCATATCCCTTAGCGAGCTTGTATTTTCCAGGTTTGAAATTATATCCGATTTTATGCTGAGCCATAAAGCTAAATAGGTTCGGGTCAGTATTTTCTTCCTTGAACTTTCTAATAGCTTCTTTATATCTGTCACTAAAGTCAATAGTATCTGGGTAACCATATTTTTCCTTTAGCATTTTTAAGAATTCTTGGTTTCCTTGTTCTCTACTTCTTTTATGTCCTTGCTCTGTTTGTGGTTGTTGTTGTGCAGGGTTTTGAACTGTTGGTTGCTGTGCTGGTTGTTGTGTTGGTTGCTGTGCTGGTTGTTGTGCTGGATTTTGAACTGTTGGTTGCTGTGCTGGATTTTGAACTGTTGGTTTTGGTGCATGCCTGTGTCTGTGTCCATGTGACGATGTAAATGTTTTAGGTAGTCCTGGTGCAGGTGCTTCTCTTGGAGGGTTTGGTGGTATATAAGTTCCACTAGCTAGTATATAAGTTCCACCAGCTGGTATATAAGTTCCACCAGCTGGCACATATGTTCCATCTGCAGCATAATGTCCTACCTGACTTTTCGTTCTTAAGAAAGCATTTACTAGGTCTGTTTTGGTCTGTTGTAACTCTTTTTCTTGACTTTTCACAACAGTTGCTCTAACGGCGTCATAGGCACTTTGAACTGCCTGTCTCGTTGCTGCATCTGTTATTTTCGTCATATTTTGTGCTACTTCTTTTAACTCTTTGTCGAAACCTTCAGACTTCAGTTTCTTTCCAGATGAGAAGTCGTTCACTTGTTTCACCTTACTATGAAGAGCTTCGAAGGCGTTCTTAAAGTCAGCATTTGTTAAAGCTTCATTTGAACTGTCTTCATCCGCTTGTATTTTTGTCCTTATTGACCCTATAAGCTGGGCTGCTTTAGCGTTGGCTTGGGCATCTAACCAGTCATTGTTAGCTTTTATATATTCTGCGCTTTTCATTGCCTTTTGCATGGCTGCGTCGTTATTTTTACTTTCTTGTGCTAAGTTTTCATACTGTACGGTTTGGTTTTGCAACTGTAAAAGTTTTTCTGCCTTTACATTTGCTTCAACTTCTTTTTTATACTCATCGCTATCCATATATGTCTTCAGGGCTTTTTGTTTTATCTCTTCATCTTTCAGTATTTTATATTGAGTAGTATGGTTTTTCAAATTTATGACATCTTGTTCCATTTTTTGCTACTTCTGTTGCTTTTTCTGACACTTTTTTCGCATATTCCTCTGTACTTAGTTCTTTCAGTTGTTCTTCTTTCTTCTTTTTCTCTACGTTTAACTCATTGAGTTTCTTTGTGTGTCTGTCATATTCTAGTTTCTTTTCGTTTTCACCTATTTGCTTCTGTATGTCTATGTTTGACTTTTTGACATCTGTTATTTGATTTTTGAGTGAACTCAAATTCATTTGACTTTGAGGGTTATATGCTGTTCCGTCTGCAGCTCCACCATAGCCTGCCATTTTCGCTAAAAGTGCCGCTCTTAAACCTCCACTCTGTGCACCAACAACTCGGTTTAAAAGCATAGGATTGCTTGACATTTGTTGCAACATAGTGGGGTCATTCAGCATTTGTTGTTGCAACTGTTGTTGTGGTGTCAGTTTTACTATTGGATGTTTCAATGCTCTCTTCCTCTTACGTATATTCTTACGTAGCTTACGTGGCATTTTAAGTGAAGTTAAAAAGCGGTTTTTGACAGATGTTTTATTGTGACTTCTTCGTAAAGACTTTGTTGAGATTTCTTCGTAAATGACCCAAAAATATATTTTAGGGTAGAAGGGTATATCTAACCTCTTTTCTAACCTCATTTCTACCCTCTTGAATTTTCATGAATTTCTTCGTAAATGTTTTGTCAAGACTTCTTCGTAAAGACTTTGTTGAGACTTCTTCGTAAAGACTTTGTTGAGACTTCTTCGTAAAGACTTTGTTGAGATTTCTTCGTAAAGACTTTGTTGAGACTTCTTCGTAAAGACTTTGTTGAGACTTCTTCGTAAATGACCCTAGTAGTATATTTTTGGTGTAAATTTCATGAAAATTCAAGAGGGTAGAAAAGAGGGTAGAAAACGGGGTAGATATACCCTTCTACCCTAAAATATATTTTTGGTGTAAATTTCATGAAAATTCAAGAGGGTAGAAAAGAGGGTAGAAAACGGGGTAGATATACCCTTCTACCCTAAAATATATTTTTGGGTCATTTACACTCATGAACTTTCTTGTCTATGTTTTGTCAAGACTTCTTCGTAAAGACTTTGTTGAGACTTCTTCGTAAAGACTTTGTCAAGACTTCTTCGTAAAGACTTTGTCAAGACTTCTTCGTAAAGACTTTGTCAAGACTTCTTCGTAAAGACTTTGTCAAGACTTCATCGTAAATGTTTTGTTGAGATTTCTTCATAAAGACTTTGTCAAGACTTCATCGTAAATGTTTTGTTGAGATTTCTTCATAAAGACTTTGTTAAGACTTCTTCATAAATGTTTTGTCAAGACTTCATTTATACTCATTCATCCTCAGGGCTAGAAGGCACGAAGTGCCTGGAAGCCCCACTACCTTTTTTTTTTTTTTTTTTTTTTTTTTTTAACTCAGAGTATGAATTTCATCATGTATCTTGTTTTAATAGTCTACTTTTAACTGTGAATCAAAATGTGAATCTTTCAATACTATTCAAAAATTGAATATCAAAATGGAAATTATCGTTATTGTCTTAGTGAATCAATTGACACAAATCATTTCGAATAATGTTTTCAAAAAGAAATATAAACAAGATCGATATTTATGATATGTTGCTCGATGTATAGGCCTTCGTTTGGCTAGAACATAATTTCTGGCCAAAAGCTCCACACCACGCGAAATATTTATTTATTTGTATTTCATTTTTGTAACAAATGTTTTTATCCCTTTTAAGAAAATGGTGGGAAACCGTATGTGGTGGTGCCGCCAGCGAATTGACCATCCATTACGTCAGTTGATGACATTTCCAAAAGACGACCAACTTATCTACAAGATCCAGTTTTTAGGATTAGAACTCGATGATTTACGATCAGCCGATTTAGGTGAATTAAAATCTATGTTCCGTAATGAACAAATGGCAATCAATGCACAAGACATTGCACGCAAATTCCCTATTGTCGAAATCGACACTCGTTATCAACCGATTTCCGATCAAATCATCAACATCATCATCGAAGCATCATTTCCATTCAAATGGGATCCACATGTTACTCACGACACATTGAGTTTCTGGATCTTCATTGAAGACGGTAACGGAGAAAAGATGTATCTTGCTCAAGAAGTCCAAATTGATCGACATCTTGCTAATGATGGCTTCAAATTCGAATACCTTGTTCCAGTTTGTGAAAGTCATAAGTATTTAGTTACTATGACATCTAGCCGCTTTTTAGGTGTTGGTGATTCACAATCCATTTACATCAAAAACTCAGACCGCGCTACATTCGATAGTTTCGAATCTAATCCACCTAATTTGCGTCCACTCCCAGTTACATCTATTGAAAACATTGAACATCGAAAACTGTTTGGTTTTGAGTTCTTTAACCCAGTCCAGTCACAAGTTTTTTTCCAGACATATCGCACTGATGAAAGTCTCCTGATTTGCGCTCCTACAGCTGCAGGCAAGACATCAATTGCCGAACTTGCGATTTGTCGCCTTTTCTCAACACATCCCGAACAAAAAGCAGTTTACCTGGCTCCTCTTAAAGCTATTGTCACAGAACGTGTTCAAGACTGGCGCATGAAATTCGGCGATAAATTGATTGAATTGACAGGTGAATTCACCCAGATTCTAATGCTATTGCTAAAGCAAGTCTTATTGTTGCCACACCAGAGAAATGGGATGCCGTTTCTCGTGGATTTGTTGTTCGTCGTTTTGTCCAAACAGTTGGTTTAGTTGTTATTGATGAAGCACATTTACTTGGTACTGACCGTGGCCACATCATTGAAGCAGTTGTTGACCGAATGAAATCGATGCCAACTAAAGTCCGATTCATTGGTTTGAGCACATGTTTATCTAATCCACTTGATGTTGCAGAGTTCTTAGGTGTTTCTCGTCGTGGTACATACAACTTCCCTCCACAAATGCGCGCTGTTCCATTGAAGACATTCATCCGTGGATTCCCTGGTCGTCATTTCTGTCCTCGAATGGCATCTATGAACAAACCACTTTCAGATGCTATCCGTGAGTACTCTAATGACAAACCAACACTTGTTTTCGTTCCATCACGTCGTCAGACTCGTTTGACAGCATTCGACCTTATTTCATACGCAACGAACAGAGGCGAACCATTCTATTACACTACACCAGAGACCGCATTGGCCAGCCAGAAAGTTCAAGACCAAACATTGTCACACTGTCTTAGTTTAGGTATTGGTTTGCATCACGCAGGTTTAGTTTCCAGTGACTGCGAGATTGTTGAAGAATTGTTTGCATCAGGTAAGATGAAGTTGTTAGTTGCTACAGCCACATTGGCATGGGGTGTCAATCTTCCTGCACATTTTGTTGTCATCAAAGGCACTGAGTTCCACGACGCTAAGACATGCCAATACATTCCATACTCTAGCACTGAAATGCAGCAGATGATGGGTCGTGCTGGTCGTCCTCAGTTCGACACAGAAGGCATTGTCATGATTCTTTGCGAGGAAGGTCGTAAAGATTTCTTGAAGCGATTCATCAACTCTCCTCTTCCAGTCGAATCTAACTTATTCGAACACGCTAGTGAACACGCCAATGCTGAGATTGCATCAGGTCGTATCAAATCTAAGAAGTCACTTATGTCATGGCTTAAACGTTCATTCTTTGCAATCCGTCTTGATAAGAATCCCGGTTATTACGAGAACATCACATTGGAAGAAGTTTCATCGAACATCATCAAAGCGTTGACAGACAAACACTGCATCAGTGTCAACTTGGAAGGACACATCAATCCAACACCAGAAGGACGCATTGCATCCATCTTCTATGTCTCTCCCGACGACGTTAAGTTGTTTATTGATCGCATGAATGAGTCATCCAATGTTGTTTCTCTTCTTCGTCTTATCTGCATGGCACAGGAATTCAAACAAGTCCCAGTTCGTCACTCAGAAGACGAAGTTGTCATGGACATGACTCCACGCTTCAAGACCGAAGATCCCATTGATTCTCCTCACACCAAAGCATTCTTCATGTGCCAGTACTACTTTTCTCGTCGTGAGATGCCTATTCCCGATTTCATCACCGATTTGGCATCGGTTCTTGACCAAGCTCTTCGAATTGTCGGATGTTTCTCGGAGATCGCCGCCATCCGAGGCGAACTTAACGCCGTCATCAATGCAAGCATTCTCACCCAGATGCTTGTCCAAGGCTGCTGGCACGACCAGAACTCTATCCAAGCATTAGTTGATGTTCAGTTATTCAAACAACTTCAGCAACAAAACATCAACTTGCTTCCTCAAATCTTGTTCAAAGACACACCTCTTCCAGGCACCGAATTCATCAAAGATCGAGTTGTTCTTTTCAAGAACATGTCACATTTGATTTCCACCAACGGCATGGCAGTCCGTATCACATTGGAACACATCTCAGGAACACTTGGTTCACAAGTCATTTCTCCACACTTCACGCGTAAAGGTATCCAAAGTCTTTTCATTCTTGTTGGCGATCCATCCACAGGTAAGTTGTTTGGTCACCGCCGTGTTCAACTTAAGAAGGAAACACATGTTGTCACCATCCAATGCCAAGAAAGAATTCCAGGAAGTGCATGGATTTACATGCTTTCCGATTGTTACCTTGGCATTGACCAGATGTATCCAATCATTTCATCAGAGATGAACAACTTGAAATCAGCAAGTGGAAAACTTGTTGAATCACATCTTGAATTCGATTCTCATCTTGTCCAAATCGACCGCAACCGTAATCGAAAGAAACGAGATATATTCCTTAAGAAACCAGATTCCAATCCAGAACAACAACCACAACAAAATGAAACATCCAAACCAAAACAACAAGAACAACAAAACAAGGACAAAGACAAAGATCAAGATAAAACCGGAAACAAAAACAAACAGAATCAAAAGAAACAACAAAATCAAAACCAAAAGAATAAGAAACAGAAACAGAAAACAAATTTTGCAGAGTATGTTGGTGATGAACATAAAACAGAAGAAAAACCAAAACATCCAGAATCTCAAAAACAAAATTCTAAGTTCGCCGAGTACAAACTACCGAGATCTTCCGAAGAACAAAGTAACAATAATAACAACAATAAGAATAACAAGAACAAGAAACTTCAACAGCCAGTTCACGAAATCAGAATCGAGCGTCCTAAACGAGATGAACCTCATCTTGATATTCCCGAAGGTGTTCGTAACGAAAACTTTGAAGCACATCGAAACGAAGAAGTTCGTCGTCAACCAAGAACTCGTTCCTGTGGTGGTGGTCGAGGTAACATCGACATTAGATAAATTTGTATTTATATATATCTATATATATTTATGTTATATTACAAATAAAAGATATCTTTTTATTTATTTATCTCCATTACAACTTAAATTATTATAATCTACAGTCTTCATAAAGATTTTAGATAATTTTTTACATTGTCTGTTGCAAGATCTAATGCCGTTTTTCCATCATTATTCTTTGCTTCTTTATCAGCTCCATTAGAGATAAGATATTGAACAACTTCAAGATGACCTTCTTCTGATGCACAAATGAGTGGAGTAGATCCATTATTATTCTTTGCTTCTTTATCAGCTCCATTAGAGATAAGATATTTAACAACATCAAGATGACCATATCTTGATGCCCAAATGAGTGGAGTCCATCCATCATTATCCTTTGCTTCTTTGTTAGCTCCATTAGAGATAAGATATTGAACAACTTCAAGATGACCGGTAACTGATGCAAAAATGAGTGGAGTATATCCATATTTATCCTTTGCTTCTTTATCAGCTCCATTAGAGATTAAATATTGAACAACTTCAAGATGACCATATCTTGATGCCCAAATGAGTGGAGTCCATCCATTATTATTCTTTGCTTCTTTATCAGCTCCATTAGAGATAAGATATTGAACAACTTCAAGTTTACAATATCTTGATGCCCAAATGAGTGGAGTCATTTCCCGATTATCCTTTGCTTCTTTATCAGCTCCATTAGAGATAAGATATTGAACAACTTCAAGATGACCATTAGCTGATGCAAAAATGAGTGGAGTATTTCCATCATTACTCTTTGCTTCTTTATCAGCACCAACAGAGATAAGATATTGAACAACTTCAAGATGACCATTAGCTGATGCAAAAATGAGTGGAGTCCATCCATATTTATTCTTTGCTTCTTTATCAGCTCCATTAGAGATAAGATATTGAACAACTTCAAGATGACCATTAGATGATGCATAAATGAGTGGAGTAGATCCATTATTATTCTTTGCTTCTTTGTTAGCTCCAATAGAGATTAAATATTGAACAACTTCAAGATGACCTTCTTCTGATGCACAAATGAGTGGAGTATTTCCATCATTATTCTTTGCTTCTTTATCAGCACCAACAGAGATAAGATATTTAACAACTTCAAGATGACCATTTCTTGATGCCCAAATGAGTGGAGTCCATCCATCATTATTCTTTGCTTCTTTATCAGCACCAACAGAGATAAGATATTTAACAACTTCAAGATGACCATTAGATGATGCATAAATGAGTGGAGTAGATCCAGCATTATCCTTTGCTTCTTTATCAGCTCCATTAGAGATAAGATATTTAACAACTTCAATATGACCATGCCATGATGCATAATTGAGTGGAGTCAAGCCACGTGAACTCTTTGTACCTTTATCACAGCCGCATTCAATGAGAGATTTGACAAGTTTGAGATTTCCTTTATTACTTGCTACATGAAGTACATTCCTTTCATCAAACTCATCACCATCATCTCGAAAATGTACAGTAGTTGTCTTCTTCCAAAGTCCTTCTTCACATGCTTTTGAAATCATTTTTCGATTTCCTTGAGATGAAAGCTCATCAAGGAAATTGTAGATACTTTCGAAATCATCTGATTCCTTTAGCTCTTTAATTTTTGATAAAATTGTTTCATCGGCTTGATTGGTGTTACTTTCCATTTCATTGAGTTTTTCTTTTAATTTGTTGCTTTCTTCATTGATTTGATTGAGTTGAGATTGAAGTGATTGTATTTCGTTGTCACTTTTTTGTTTTGGAATTTCGTTTAGCTCTGTTTGAAGTTTTTGGATTTTCTCTGTAGAATCGTATATTTCTTTTCCTTTGGAATCTAAAAAGTCAACAATACTATTAAGTATTCTGAGTTTCATGTACTTTTTGATTGATTTCAGTGTTGAAATAACATCTTCAAAGTTTTGAATATAAATATTAGCATTTCGAGTACAAGCATATAATTTATTTGCATTGATAGTAGGATGTGACTGCTCAAGAAGAGCAATGAAGCCATTTGCTGTAAAATTTGAAATTTTCATGATCTTTTTGATGTCTTCTATTTCAAATACATCAAAGAAATTACCTTCGTCAATATATTCACTGATATGAGAAGCAATATGTTCATAATCTTGAATATGAGCTTGACTCATCCAAATGAGAAAATGAAACTTTACAAATTAAAAATCCAATAAAAAAAATAAATTAAATTAAATTTAAAAAAAAAAGTAATTGCTACTAAGCTTTTCTATTTATTAGATCAAGTGTTTTAACTTAAATGCCATAAATTTCAATTCTCTACATTAATATAAACACTTTTAAGAGACTCAGAAAAATTGAGATGAAAATGAGATTTATCGTTTTCGCCTCAGTTTCAAGATAAAAATCCAACATAAAATTAAAATTAATATTTATTATTAAAAGAAGTTAATAAAATAAATTTATATTGAACGTCGGATTTAACTTCAAAATTTAAGATTTTGAAATTTAATTCTAGCTTCAAAACAGAAATTTAAGCATAACTAGAAGCAACTACATATTGCATGTTCTGCTTATTCGGGCTCACATGTTTGATAATTTACCCTCACTCTCAGTTTAGGTACTATTATCATTAGAAATGTAAACTATTCAAAAATTGATAGTTTCCTCTTTTGATTTTCACAGTTTATGTAGAAATGTCAAATAAATTTATATTCATGTGATATGTAATCATACTAAAGCTTCATGGTGGAAGATTTCTTATGGTCAAACTTTGTCTTCATAAAAATTTTACATTTTATTCAGAATATTGATGAATATATGAAACACTCAGGTATAAATATAGATGGTTATATGAAATTTATATGTCAGATTGTGAACATAGTTAAATTTCCCATCTCATTTTCATTTTGATATTTTTTTTCATATATTAAATAGACATCAATATAACTCAGAGTATGAATTTCATCATGTATCTTGTTTTAATAGTCTACTTTTAACTGTGAATCAAAATGTGAATCTTTCAATACTATTCAAAAATTGAATATCAAAATGGAAATTATCGTTATTGTCTTAGTGAATCAATTGACACAAATCATTTCGAATAATGTTTTCAAAAAGAAATATAAACAAGATCGATATTTATGATATGTTGCTCGATGTATAGGCCTTCGTTTGGCTAGAACATAATTTCTGGCCAAAAGCTCCACACCACGCGAAATATTTATTTATTTGTATTTCATTTTTGTAACAAATGTTTTTATCCCTTTTAAGAAAATGGTGGGAAACCGTATGTGGTGGTGCCGCCAGCGAATTGACCATCCATTACGTCAGTTGATGACATTTCCAAAAGACGACCAACTTATCTACAAGATCCAGTTTTTAGGATTAGAACTCGATGATTTACGATCAGCCGATTTAGGTGAATTAAAATCTATGTTCCGTAATGAACAAATGGCAATCAACGCACAAGACATTGCACGCAAATTCCCTATTGTCGAAATCGACACTCGTTATCAACCGATTTCCGATCAAATCATCAACATCATCATCGAAGCATCATTTCCATTCAAATGGGATCCACATGTTACTCACGACACATTGAGTTTCTGGATCTTCATTGAAGACGGTAACGGAGAAAAGATGTATCTTGCTCAAGAAGTCCAAATTGATCGACATCTTGCTAATGATGGCTTCAAATTCGAATACCTTGTTCCAGTTTGTGAAAGTCATAAGTATTTAGTTACTATGACATCTAGCCGCTTTTTAGGTGTTGGTGATTCACAATCCATTTACATCAAAAACTCAGACCGCGCTACATTCGATAGTTTCGAATCTAATCCACCTAATTTGCGTCCACTCCCAGTTACATCTATTGAAAACATTGAACATCGAAAACTGTTTGGTTTTGAGTTCTTTAACCCAGTCCAGTCACAAGTTTTCTTCCAGACATATCGCACTGATGAAAGTCTCCTGATTTGCGCTCCTACAGCTGCAGGCAAGACATCAATTGCCGAACTTGCGATTTGTCGCCTTTTCTCAACACATCCCGAACAAAAAGCAGTTTACCTGGCTCCTCTTAAAGCTATTGTCACAGAACGTGTTCAAGACTGGCGCATGAAATTCGGCGATAAATTGATTGAATTGACAGGTGAATTCACCCCAGATTCTAATGCTATTGCTAAAGCAAGTCTTATTGTTGCCACACCAGAGAAATGGGATGCCGTTTCTCGTGGATTTGTTGTTCGTCGTTTTGTCCAAACAGTTGGTTTAGTTGTTATTGATGAAGCACATTTACTTGGTACAGACCGTGGCCACATCATTGAAGCAGTTGTTGACCGAATGAAATCGATGCCAACTAAAGTCCGATTCATTGGTTTGAGCACATGTTTATCTAATCCACTTGATGTTGCAGAGTTCTTAGGTGTTTCTCGTCGTGGTACATACAACTTCCCTCCACAAATGCGCGCTGTTCCATTGAAGACATTCATCCGTGGATTCCCTGGTCGTCATTTCTGTCCTCGAATGGCATCTATGAACAAACCACTTTCAGATGCTATCCGTGAGTACTCTAATGACAAAAACCTAACTGTTTTCGTTCCATCACGTCGTCAGACTCGTTTGACAGCATTCGACCTTATTTCATACGCAACGAACAGAGGCGAACCATTCTATTACACTACACCAGAGACCGCATTGGCCAGCCAGAAAGTTCAAGACCAAACATTGTCACATTGTCTTAGTTTAGGTATTGGTTTGCATCACGCAGGTTTAGTTTCCAGTGACTGCGAGATTGTTGAAGAATTGTTTGCATCAGGTAAGATGAAGTTGTTAGTTGCTACAGCCACATTGGCATGGGGTGTCAATCTTCCTGCACATTTTGTTGTCATCAAAGGCACTGAGTTCCACGACGCTAAGACATGCCAATACGTTCCATACTCTAGCACTGAAATGCAGCAGATGATGGGTCGTGCTGGTCGTCCTCAGTTCGACACAGAAGGCATTGTCATGATTCTTTGCGAGGAAGGTCGTAAAGATTTCTTGAAGCGATTCATCAACTCTCCTCTTCCAGTCGAATCTAACTTATTCGAACACGCTAGTGAACACGCCAATGCTGAGATTGCATCAGGTCGTATCAAATCTAAGAAGTCACTTATGTCATGGCTTAAACGTTCATTCTTTGCAATCCGTCTTGATAAGAATCCCGGTTATTACGAGAACATCACATTGGAAGAAGTTTCATCGAACATCATCAAAGCGTTGACAGACAAACACTGCATCAGTGTCAACTTGGAAGGACACATCAATCCAACACCAGAAGGACGCATTGCATCCATCTTCTATGTCTCTCCCGACGACGTTAAGTTGTTTATTGATCGCATGAATGAGTCATCCAATGTTGTTTCTCTTCTTCGTCTTATCTGCATGGCACAGGAATTCAAACAAGTCCCAGTTCGTCACTCAGAAGACGAAGTTGTCATGGACATGACTCCACGCTTCAAGACCGAAGATCCCATTGATTCTCCTCACACCAAAGCATTCTTCATGTGCCAGTACTACTTTTCTCGTCGTGAGATGCCTATTCCCGATTTCATCACCGATTTGGCATCGGTTCTTGACCAAGCTCTTCGAATTGTCGGATGTTTCTCGGAGATCGCCGCCATCCGAGGCGAACTTAACGCCGTCATCAATGCAAGCATTCTCACCCAGATGCTTGTCCAAGGCTGCTGGCACGACCAGAACTCTATCCAAGCATTAGTTGATGTTCAGTTATTCAAACAACTTCAGCAACAAAACATCAACTTGCTTCCTCAAATCTTGTTCAAAGACACACCTCTTCCAGGCACCGAATTCATCAAAGATCGAGTTGTTCTTTTCAAGAACATGTCACATTTGATTTCCACCAACGGCATGGCAGTCCGTATCACATTGGAACACATCTCAGGAACACTTGGTTCACAAGTCATTTCTCCACACTTCACGCGTAAAGGTATCCAAAGTCTTTTCATTCTTGTTGGCGATCCATCCACAGGTAAGTTGTTTGGTCACCGCCGTGTTCAACTTAAGAAGGAAACACATGTTGTCACCATCCAATGCCAAGAAAGAATTCCAGGAAGTGCATGGATTTACATGCTTTCCGATTGTTACCTTGGCATTGACCAGATGTATCCAATCATTTCATCAGAGATGAACAACTTGAAATCAGCAAGTGGAAAACTTGTTGAATCACATCTTGAATTCGATTCTCATCTTGTCCAAATCGACCGCAACCGTAATCGAAAGAAACGAGATATATTCCTTAAGAAACCAGATTCCAATCCAGAACAACAACCACAACAAAATGAAACATCCAAACCAAAACAACAAGAACAACAAAACAAGGACAAAGACAAAGATCAAGATAAAACCGGAAACAAAAACAAACAGAATCAAAAGAAACAACAAAATCAAAACCAAAAGAATAAGAAACAGAAACAGAAAACAAATTTTGCAGAGTATGTTGGTGATGAACATAAAACAGAAGAAAAACCAAAACATCCAGAATCTCAAAAACAAAATTCTAAGTTCGCCGAGTACAAACTACCGAGATCTTCCGAAGAACAAAGTAACAATAATAACAACAATAAGAATAACAAGAACAAGAAACTTCAACAGCCAGTTCACGAAATCAGAATCGAGCGTCCTAAACGAGATGAACCTCATCTTGATATTCCCGAAGGTGTTCGTAACGAAAACTTTGAAGCACATCGAAACGAAGAAGTTCGTCGTCAACCAAGAACTCGTTCCCGTGGTGGTGGTCGAGGTAACATCGACATTAGATAAATTTGTATTTATATATATCTATATATATTTATGTTATATTACAAATAAAAGATATCTTTTTATTTATTTATCTCCATTACAACTTAAATTATTATAATCTACAGTCTTCATAAAGATTTTAGATAATTTTTTACATTGTCTTTTGCAAGATCTAATGCCGTTTTTCCATCTTTATTCTTTGCTTCTTTATCAGCTCCAACAGAGATAAGATATTGAACAACTTCAAGATGACCATTAGCTGATGCAAAAATGAGTGGAGTCCATCCATTTTCGCTCTTTGCTTCTTTATCAGCTCCATTAGAGATAAGATATTGAACAACTTCAAGATGACCGGTAGCTGATGCACAAATGAGTGGAGTATATTCATCATTACTCTTTGCTTCTTTATCAGCTCCAACAGAGATAAGATATTTAACAACTTCAAGATGACCAGCAGCTGATGCAAAAATGAGTGGAGTATATCCATTATTATCCTTTGCTTCTTTATCAGCTCCATTAGAGATAAGATATTTAACAACTTCAAGATGACCATTAGCTGATGCAAAAATGAGTGGAGTATATTCATCATTACTCTTTGCTTCTTTATCAGCTCCATTAGAGATAAGATATTTAACAACTTCAAGATGATCACTACCTGATGCAAAAATGAGTGGAGTGCATCCAAATTTATTCTTTGCTTCTTTGTTAGCTCCAACAGAGATAAGATATTTAACAACTTCAAGATGACCATTAGCTGATGCACAAATGAGTGGAGTCCATCCATCATTACTCTTTGCTTCTTTATTAGCACCAATAGAGATTAAATATTTAACAACATCAAGACGACCTTCTTCTGATGCATAAACGAGTGGAGTATATCCATTATTATCCTTTGCTTCTTTATCAGCTCCATTAGAGATAAGATATTTAACAACTTCAAGATGACCATTAGCTGATGCAAAAATGAGTGGAGTCCATCCATTTTCGCTCTTTGCTTCTTTATCAGCTCCATTAGAGATAAGATATTGAACAACTTCAAGATGACCGGTAGCTGATGCATAAACGAGTGGAGTATATCCATCATTACTCTTTGCTTCTTTATCAGCTCCATTAGAGATAAGATATTGAACAACTTCAAGATGACCATTTCTTGATGCATAAACGAGTGGAGTATATCCATCATTACTCTTTGCTTCTTTATCAGCTCCATTAGAGATAAGATATTGAACAACTTCAAGATGACCATTTCTTGATGCATAAACGAGTGGAGTATATCCATCATTACTCTTTGCTTCTTTATCAGCTCCATTAGAGATAAGATATTTAACAACTCCAAGATGACCATTAGCTGATGCACAAATGAGTGGAGTATATTCATCATTACTCTTTGCTTCTTTATCAGCTCCATTAGAGATAAGATATTTAACAACTCCAAGATGACCATTAGCTGATGCACAAATGAGTGGAGTATATCCATCATTACTCTTTGCTTCTTTATCAGCTCCATTAGAGATAAGATATTTAACAACTTCAAGATGACCATTAGCTGATGCAGAAATGAGTGGAGTCCATCCATCATTATCCTTTGCTTCTTTATCAGCTCCATTAGAGATAAGATATTGAACAACTTCAAGATGACCGGTAGCTGATGCAAAAATGAGTGGAGTAGATCCCTTATTATTCTTTGCTTCTTTGTTAGCTCCAATAGAGATAAGATATTGAACAACTTCAAGATGACCATTAGCTGATGCAAAAATGAGTGGAGTATTTCCATCATTACTCTTTGCTTCTTTATCAGCACCAACAGAGATAAGATATTTAACAACTTCAAGATGACCATTTCTTGATGCAGAAATGAGTGGAGTGCATCCATTTTTGTCTTTTGCTTCTTTGTTAGCATCAATAGTGATTAAATATTGAACAACTTCAAGATGACCCTTTTGTGATGCTTTAATGAGTGGAGTAGATCCATTATTATTCTTTGCTTCTTTGTTAGCATCAATAGTGATTAAATATTGAACAACTTCAAGATGACCCTTTTGTGATGCTTTAATGAGTGGAGTAGATCCATTATTATTCTTTGCTTCTTTGTTAGCTCCAATAGAGATTAAATATTTAACAACTTCAAGATGACCCTTTTGTGATGCTTTAATGAGTGGAGTAGATCCATTATTATTCTTTGCTTCTTTGTTAGCTCCAATAGAGATAAGATATTTAACAACTTCAAGACGACCATGTTCTGATGCATAAATGAGTGGAGTACATCCATCATTATCCTTTGCTTCTTTATTAGCACCAATAGAGATTAAATATTTAACAACTTCAAGATGATCACTACCTGATGCATAAGTGAGTGGAGTATCTCCATTTTTGTCTTTTGCTTCTTTGTTAGCATCAATAGTGATTAAATATTGAACAACTTCAAGATGACCCTTTTGTGATGCTTTAATGAGTGGAGTAGATCCATTATTATTCTTTGCTTCTTTGTTAGCTCCAACAGAGATAAGATATTTAACAACTTCAAGACGACCATTACTTGATGCATAATCGAGTGGAGTACATCCATCATTATCCTTTGCTTCTTTATCAGCACCAACAGAGATAAGATATTTAACAACTTCAAGATGATCACTACCTGATGCATAAATGAGCGGAGTCCTTCCCCAATTATCCTTTGCTTCTTTATCAGCTCCATTAGAGATAAGATATTTAACAACATCAAGATGACCATTAGCTGATGCAGAAATGAGTGGAGTGCATCCATTTTTGTCTTTTGCTTCTTTGTTAGCATCAATAGTGATTAAATATTGAACAACTTCAAGATGACCCTTTTGTGATGCTTTAATGAGTGGAGTAGATTCATCATTATCCTTTGCTTCTTTATTAGCTCCATTAGAGATAAGATATTGAACAACTTCAAGATGACCATTTCTTGATGCACAAATGAGTGGAGTATATCTATCATTATTCTTTGCATCTTTATCAGCTCCAACAGAGATAAGATATTTAACAACTTCAAGATGACCCTTTTGTGATGCTTTAATGAGTGGAGTACATCCATCATTATCCTTTGCTTCTTTATTAGCACCAATAGCGATTAAATATTTAACAACTTCAAGATGATCACTACCTGATGCATAAGTGAGTGGAGTATCTCCATTTTTGTCTTTTGCTTCTTTGTTAGCTCCAATAGAGATTAAATATTTAACAACTTCAAGATGACCCTTTTGTGATGCTTTAATGAGTGGAGTAGATCCATTATTATTCTTTGCTTCTTTGTTAGCTCCAATAGAGATAAGATATTTAACAACTTCAAGATGACCCTTTTGTGATGCTTTAATGAGTGGAGTAGATCCATTATCATTCTTTGCTTCTTTGTTAGCTCCAACAGAGATAAGATATTTAACAACTTCAAGATGACCCTTTTGTGATGCATAAATGAGTGGAGTACATCCATCATTATCCTTTGCTTCTTTATTAGCACCAATAGAGATTAAATATTTAACAACTTCAAGATGATCACTACCTGATGCATAAGTGAGTGGAGTATATCCATTATCATTCTTTGCTTCTTTATTAGCACCAATAGAGATTAAATATTTAACAACATCAAGATGATCACTACCTGATGCATAAATGAGTGAAGTATCTCCTTCAATATCCTTTGCTTCTATATCAGCTCCATTAGAGATAAGATATTTAACAATTTCAATATGACCATGCCATGATGCATAATTGAGTGGAGTCAAGCCACGTGAACTCTTTGTACCTTTATCACAGCCGCATTCAATGAGAGATTTGACAAGTTTGAGATTTCCTTTATTACTTGCTACATGAAGTACATTCCTTTCATCAAACTCATCACCATCATCTCGAAAATGTACAGTAGTTGTCTTCTTCCAAAGTCCTTCTTCACATGCTTTTGAAATCATTTTTCGATTTCCTTGAGATGAAAGCTCATCAAGGAAATTGTAGATACTTTCGAAATCATCTGATTCCTTTAGCTCTTTAATTTTTGATAAAATTGTTTCATCGGCTTGATTGGTGTTACTTTCCATTTCATTGAGTTTTTCTTTTAATTTGTTGCTTTCTTCATTGATTTGATTGAGTTGAGATTGAAGTGATTGTATTTCGTTGTCACTTTTTTGTTTTGGAATTTCGTTTAGCTCTGTTTGAAGTTTTTGGATTTTCTCTGTAGAATCGTATATTTCTTTTCCTTTGGAATCTAAAAAGTCAACAATACTATTAAGTATTCTGAGTTTCATGTACTTTTTGATTGATTTCAGTGTTGAAATAACATCTTCAAAGTTTTGAATATAAATATTAGCATTTCGAGTACAAGCATATAATTTATTTGCATTGATAGTAGGATGTGACTGCTCAAGAAGAGCAATGAAGCCATTTGCTGTAAAATTTGAAATTTTCATGATCTTTTTGATGTCTTCTATTTCAAATACATCAAAGAAATTACCTTCGTCAATATATTCACTGATATGAGAAGCAATATGTTCATAATCTTGAATATGAGCTTGACTCATCCAAATGAGAAAATGAAACTTTACAAATTAAAAATCCAATAAAAAAAATAAATTAAATTAAATTTAAAAAAAAAAAGTAATTGCTACTAAGCTTTTCTATTTATTAGATCAAGTGTTTTAACTTAAATGCCATAAATTTCAATTCTCTACATTAATATAAACACTTTTTAAGAGACTCAGAAAAATTGAGATGAAAATGAGATTTATCGTTTTCGCCTCAGTTTCAAGATAAAAATCCAACATAAAATTAAAATTAATATTTATTATTAAAAGAAGTTAATAAAATAAATTTATATTGAACGTCGGATTTAACTTCAAAATTTAAGATTTTGAAATTTAATTCTAGCTTCAAAACAGAAATTTAAGCATAACTAGAAGCAACTACATATTGCATGTTCTGCTTATTCGGGCTCACATGTTTGATAATTTACCCTCACTCTCAGTTTAGGTACTATTATCATTAGAAATGTAAACTATTCAAAAATTGATAGTTTCCTCTTTTGATTTTCACAGTTTATGTAGAAATGTCAAATAAATTTATATTCATGTGATATGTAATCATACTAAAGCTTCATGGTGGAAGATTTCTTATGGTCAAACTTTGTCTTCATAAAAATTTTACATTTTATTCAGAATATTGATGAATATATGAAACACTCAGGTATAAATATAGATGGTTATATGAAATTTATATGTCAGATTGTGAACATAGTTAAATTTCCCATCTCATTTTCATTTTGATATTTTTTTTCATATATTAAATAGACATCAATATTGTAATAAACAGAAATTCATCAAAAGTGACAGCTCTCAATTTTTTGACATTTGTAAATTCTAAATTGAATGAGAAAAATGAAATAATACTAAGCATAATACAATATTCTAGATTTAATTATAATTAGGAAAAAGTTAGTTTTGAGAGTACTTTTCATAGGCATATAGAATGAAATCTTCTGAAAAATAATATCACATAAACTCATATTATTTTCTAATATATAACTATTTTATATAAAAATCAAATTCAATGATCTTAAAAGCGAAGGATAAACCTCAAAATTTACGAATATAATGAGTGGAAATATAATGCTTATCTATCATAAAACCATATGAAATATCAATTTTTGCTTTACGCCTAATTTTTGACGACAATTAGCAAAAAATGTTAAATGTTAACACTCAGTCCATTTGAATATGAAAAATAAAATTGACTTTGATTAAATGTTTTTATTTATCATGCAATTCTTCTTGCGACCAAAGATTTGAATAAAAGTTCAAAAAATAAGATAGCTTAAAAATAATATACGGTAGTGTTTACTAATAGATGAATAGTATATAAATTCTATTAAAATGGATTTGATCCAAAAAAATATAAAACCAAAAATAATTGTTATAATTTAAATGAAGAAGTAATTTAAAACGATTTTATTTATGATCAAATTTTATATATTTTTTTGGATCAAATCCATTTTAATAGAATTTATATACTATTCATCTATTAGTAAACACTACCGTATATTATTTTTTCAGCTATCTTATTTTTTGAACTTTTATTCAAATCTTTGGTCGCAAGAAGAATTGCATGATAAATAAAAACATTTAATCAAAGTCAATTTTATTTTTCATATTCAAATGGACTGAGTGTTAACATTTAACATTTTTTGCTAATTGTCGTCAAAAATTAGGCGTAAAGCAAAAATTGATATTTCATATGGTTTTATGATAGATAAGCATTATATTTCCACTCATTATATTCGTAAATTTTGAGGTTTATCCTTCGCTTTTAAGATCATTGAATTTGATTTTTATATAAAATAGTTATATATTAGAAAATAATATGAGTTTATGTGATATTATTTTTCAGAAGATTTTGTGTTCTTCTTCAAAATTTTATTTTTTTTATTAAAAAGAATCTTTACAAAATATACATTTACTTTAATTAATATTTAAAAACGTGCTCTATCAAAAGTTCCAAAAATTCAATATTTTAGCTTTTCTGAGGTGTCACTTTTGATGAATTTCTGTTTACAACAATTTTAATTAGATTGGCGAAGGTATTCTTATTTACATCTTTATAAAAAAAAAAAAGGTATTGGGGCTTCCAGGGCTGCGCCCCTCTAGCCCCTGAAGATGTTTAGTATGCAATGAAGTATAAAATGAGGTTTTTTGGGGTCTGGGGGCTTCCCAGGCACTTCGTGCCTTCTAGCCCTAAAAATTTTTGAAAGTCGTTGCTGTTGACTTGTTTGTAGAGGACTCAAAATAGTAGAACTATGTCCGGACAAGTAAGGGTCTATCGTCGCTTCTCAAAGTTACGGGCGTTCCAAGAAGTATACTTTGAGAAGCCTTTTCTCCATTTTAAAACAAGATAGGACGGTTATTTTACAAAACCGACAAGACCTTAACCGAGTAGTTTTCATGTTTTGTCACTTTTCTGTCACTTTTCAGGGAAAAAACATTTTTATTAAATATAAAATGAATTTTACAAAACCACCGTTACCCTTCTTTGGAAATAAGAGTAGATGTAAAGATATTCTATTGAGAGAACTTAAGAAACTACCGAATGGTCTAACATTTGTAGACTTGTTCGGTGGAAGTTTCTATATATCTCATTTGTGCCATACCGTATTCCCAAACTCAAAGATTATATGCAATGACTTCGACAACTATATGAACCGTCTCAAACATATACCAGACACAAACAAAATATTGAAAGAGTTAAAAGAAAAGATACCTATAGGTAAGATGGAACGTATACCATTAGATAAGAAAAATACTGTCAGAGAGGTTTTGAAAAAAGCAGAGTATATTGACCGGGATAGTATATCTTCTAGACTATTGTATAGTGGTTCTATAAGAGTTCATGACATTGAAACACTTATGTCAAACGTTTTATATCTTAACTATACAAAGGTTTTCAAAGAGAACATAGAAAAATATACTGAGGGTATAGAGTTTGTGAGATGTCATTGGACAGAGTTGTATGAAAAATATAAAAACAAGGAAAATGTTTTCTTTATAGTAGACCCGCCGTTCTATAACACATATGATTTTCAATACCAAGTAGACTGGACTTTGAGAGACTCTTTAGAAACTTTAGACGTTTTACATAACCATCCATGCTTTTACTTTACATCCGATAAAAGTGGTTTGGAAAGTGTCATGAGATGGTTAGAGGACATACATGAGTATGATTTTAGATACGATAAGATAGAATATGAGAGAGGTCCTATAAACCGGAAAAAGTGTCATAACAAAGAAATTTTATTGGTAAGTAAATGTGGTTTGAAATAGGACTACTTGTTTTAGGTTTTTTCCATTGTGTCATTTACTTATTTGACGTGGCAGAAAGATATAGAGAATATGAAGATGAACCAATGTCTGCAAATGTTCAGCATATGTACTCGTAAGAGATATTTTTATCTAATATTAAATGGACGCACAGAACTTAGCGAATGCACAGCAACCTGGACAACCAAACCCAGAGAATATTCCAAATGAAGTTAGAATACAAACTGCAATGGCAAACTATGGTCAAGTGCCAACAGATGTACAAATGCAAACTGCCATGTCAAATGACGCTGCGTTAGGTTTGCCACCATGGTATGCAAATATGAGATGGAAAGAGTTTTATACAAACCCTGAAGTGGGATATAAACAACTCTATGCAGATGACGCGAACACAGGAGTTGACCCGGAATATGTTTCTACCAGAGGAGAAATAGAATGTATGAGCTCCAGTTAAAGAATGCTATGGAACTCAGAAGGAAACGTAAGAGACTAGGCGGACATTAGATTTTTACATATAGTAAAATGGGTTTCTTTGGAAGAATAGGAAACTTCTTTCGAAATGTTGGAAGAGGTATATGGAATGGAATAAAATCTGTCGGAAGAGGAGTATGGAACGGAGTCAAAAATATTGGTAAAAGAGTAGGTCAGTTCGTTGGTATTATACCTAAAGACCCTGAACCAGAAGAACAAGCTCCTGTTATACAACAGCCTGAACCTGCACCACAGTCTAGTTGGCAACCAAATCCAACACCTCAACCGTATTAAAATTATATTTTTACCGTTCGATAGTAGTTGTATATGAAGCTAAGTTCTAAGTAAAACGCATGGTATAATGGAACTATTCTCTTTCTTCCATCTGTTGTAAACCATACTTGAAAGTCTGAAATACTTCCACTCGGTGGTTCATATAGCTTTGTAGGTTTTTCGTAAAAGTCATTTGCCAAGCATAAAAAAGAGTTTTGTGCACCAGAAAATGAAGCATGAACTATAATAGCATCTTGGTCAAAAACATTTTCATATGTTCCATTAGGGTTTTCGACTTCATAAAAGTTCGGGTGTACTGGATATTCTGCAGGCTGATTTAACATCCTCAAAAATCTATACCATGCCAAGTTGTTATATTTTGTAGAAATATAAACGTCTTCTCCAAGGTCTTCTATTCTATTGATTTTAACAGTTGCATTTTTCCTGTCATATAAAATATCGAGATGGTACTCTCCTTCGTCAATGTTGTACTGTTTTGCATATTCGAGATAGATATCGTTTATTTTTTCTTGAAAAGCTTGAAGAGTTGTTTCTAAGTTTACAAGCAAACTAACTTGTAAAAGTTTTCCCTGTACAAATTTCTCATACGTACGTTTTTCTTTGTTATAGTATCGAACTTCAAAACCGACCGTAAATGGGAAACCATGTATGGCTTCTGAAATGAACTTCATTCTACGAAAGCCAACAGCTTTTGTGACGGATGGGTCTCTTAACCATCTTAGTGGGTAGTCAAAACGATAGCCTTCATGCTTTACGGTCTCTGTCTCAAACTTTTGACCGACATTCGTAAAAAGTTCATCTAATGGTTTAGTTGTAGCAACTCTTGAATTTTCTTTTTCTATTGAAAGCATATTTTATCTAGAATAAAAATGTCAAATGAAACAGCGTCTATGAGAGAGATACAACACAACCGACAACTCATTTGCAAGCTCTAAATAAGAACAACAAACTTTTCAAACTATTCTAAGATATCTGAGTCATTGAAAGAAGGAAACTTAAAACTGACGATAAACCCAATGACAGATGAGTTTCTGTTTCAAGACAGTAAGAACCATACTGTTTGTATAAATCCAACAAAAAGAACTTTAAACGAGAAGCCTATAGATGAACTTCTTTTGAAAGCAGATGTTAACAACAAAGCTGACAAAGAGTATGTCATTGAAAAAGTTCAAGAAGAACATGACAGAGCAGATGCAACATATGCAACAAAAGAGGATGTTGAAAAGAAAGCTGACAAAACATATGTTGACGATGAGTTAGCATATGTGGCTAGTGCGTTAGTGAAGAAGGCAGATAAGGAATATGTGGATGAAAAAGACAATGAAATTAAAGAAAGGGTTGAATGGTACCATGAACGGACAACAAAGACTTTAAAATCTAAAGCCGATACAGGATGGGTTTCAGGATGTTTAGACCTTAAAGCCGACAAAGAAACTGTAGATATGTTGACACAAACGGTTTCAAGTCATACCAGAGGTTTAATGGAAGATGGACAACAGTTGAAAGAGCTTGAGAAAGGTGTTACAGAGTTAAGGAATACAAAAGCAGACTCGACATGGATAGCTGGATATGTAGATGCAACAAAAGAGTATATTTTCGCATGGACAGAAGGAACATACCCACAAAAACATCATACACATAGCATCTCTGACGTAAATGAACTTCAAGAAAAGTTAGATAAGAAAGCTGACAAAACAGAGCTTCAAACGTTAAAGACTGAAATACTTCAAACAGTATATCCTATAGGTTCTATTTATACGTCAATGAACTCTACCAGACCAGAAGTAGTACTTGGTCTCGGAACTTGGACTCAAATAGTCGACAGGTTTTTGTATTGTGCAAACTCTTCAAAGGAAACAGGTGGAAGTAAAACGATTTCAGGTGAAAACCTACCTGCACACAGTCACTACATAAATTTAACTACAGCTGAAGCAGGTTGGCATAAGCATAGATATTGGGATTGGACAGGAATGACAAAAGGTAAAGGATATGATGTTAAAGACGACGTTAAGTTTGCTATAAATTGTTACTGGAGTAACACTGAGGGAGGAGGAAGCCATACACATCGCATTACAGGATATGCAGAAACAACGGGACAAAGTAAAGACTACATGCCACCTTACATGACAGTTTACGCATGGTATAGAAATGCTTAGTCGTCATTTTCAACTTCTTTAGCATATTCGTCAGGAGTTGTCTTATATTTGTTAGGAACTGTCTTTGAAAGTATACCACCTTGAACCTTAACAAGTTTGAAACGAGGTCTGACAATAGTAGTTTTATCTTCTGCTTGCAGTGTGTACATTTTGCCATGTTTGCCTAAAACTTCATAATATTCTCTTGTATACTTTCTTCTATTTTTACGAACACGAATGTGAGTACCTGTCGAGTTCCCATTGTTGTCATAGTCAATAGTATTTTCATATGGGTCGCGTTTAGGTATTTCTATTTTTACTTTGTCACCTTTCTTAAGTTTGAAGCCCGGCATTCTTTCTTGTTTGTCTCTTTTGACTAAACTATTAAATATATAGTCTTTCTCTAAGTCGGGGTTGTTTTTCATTTCTTCGGGGGAGTGGTTTCCCAAACCTTTTTGTTTACGGCTATTGTAAATATTTAAAACTTGTCTCATCTTTGCCATGGAGAAGTGTCTATTTGTCGTCATATGACATTTCATTTGCTTCACCACCTTGTGGTTGGTTTAAGTCTCTTAAGATTTTTATACAACTGTCAATGACACCAAGAGCAGAATGGTTTTGGTCGACAATGAAATATTGGTTTACATTTTTTGAACGCAGATAGTTTTTAATATCGTCTGATTTGAAAGAACTTTCATAGTCAGATGTCAGTTTTGTTGGATGGTATTTGTCAACGAATATTGTCAAAGCAGTTTTCACATCTAAAATATTTTTGGACCATAATGGTATGGCTTCACAGTATCTTGTGTTTTGACCAACAAATATTAGCCAGTATGGTGGTCCATCTTCTCTATACCTCGGAATGTTTTCCAAGATATCCATAAACCAAGCATTTGGTGTTGAACTAAAGATTTTTACCATGAGTGCTTTCTTTGTCGCCTTAGAAACATACGGGTCCTTGTTTGAATTCGTCATTTTTAACCCATAAGAAATGGGTTTATTTGGCGCATTAGCAGGAGTCGCATCCAGATTTTTACCCGCAGTGGGAACACTAGCCAGAGGTGCATTTGGAATTGGAAGGAAGATTTTGAGTACATTAGGTATACTGAAAGAGAAAGCACAACCTATTATACAAACTGTACAGAAAGGTTGGGAGGTAGCACGAGATGCAGCAAATCTTATTCCAAATCCTGAAACAAGAGGAAAAGTTCAAGGATGGATGGACAATGTAGGAAGACAAGCAGGAAACTACTATAACAAAGCAAATGACTACTATAACCAAGCAGGGCACTATATGGACCAAGGTGAAAGATTCTTTAACAGAGGATATAACCATGCACAACAGTGGGTAAACAACAACCAACCTCAACCGCCTCAAACGTGGGGAATGTAAAATTTTTTACTGAGATGAAATGAACAATACAGCTTTGAGACAAATGGGTTCAAGATGGCTTTGTCGGCTTCCAGCAGTTACACAACGTGTTTGTCAAGTTCTTCCTATACCTCAGGAAGTTTTAGACCGACTTAAAAAACCTCAACAACCAGTTGAAAACAAACCAAACTAAAATTTTTTACTGAGATGAAATGACCGAAGAAGTTGAAACGGTAGATTTGACACCACAAACAAAAAGTTCAGAACCATTGTCAAAACCTGTCAAAGAACTTACAGATGAAGAGAAAAATTCAATAATAGAAAGTGCCAGGTCTGGAAATACAAACCCTAACTACAAAGTCACTTTTCATAAAAATGGAACGGCAAGTATCTCAAAAAAGAAACAGACTCTCACAAATAAAATATTGAAGTCTGAAGGAGCTTTCGAGACAACAGATGGAAAAGTTTACTTCACTGACCAACAGTTCATTATAGAACATCTCATTGACTTAGAGTCGAAATATTCTAAACTTTACAACAAACACAAAAAGTTGAAAGGAAAACAGAAACAAATGGCATATGACATTTATGAAGATGTTGACGACACAACTATTCCAGCAAGTGAGGTAAAGTCAAAGGAACCAAAAAGTGACGAAAAACAGATAGAAGAAGGGAAGCCAAAAACTGAAGAGGAGCCAAAACCAAAGGTTAGTCTGGATACTAAACCAAGTCAACCTTCATTAGCTGGTATGGGTTGGCGTCAAAGACTTATGGCAGCAAGTGGTTATGTAAAGTAAAGGAAAAAACATTTTTTTATTTTTATAGAAATGCCCCCATATAGAATGGATAGAAAATCTGCTAGAGTAAAAGCAGAGTTAGAAAGATATGGTTGGAGAGTTTCAAAGAATTTTAAATATAGGAAGGGAAGACCCATAAAAGTCTATGACAAACTGGCTGGTCTTCGCTACGAAATGGACTTAGAAACAGCACGCGCAAATTATCCAAACAGATTAGAGAGGTTAGAAGAAGAACGTCTTATGGACATGCCTTTCGATGTTAGTGAGCCTCAAGTTAAAGGACACGACGGCTTTGCCAGATTCTACTGGAAACATGACGAACAATTGAATCCTTTGAGAAGGAAAAAAGGGAAGGGTGAAGACACACATGCTCCCATGGAAAGAACAAGATATGCATATGAAAAGTATCGTGAAGTTAGAAGTAAAATTACTTCTGGTCGAACCTTTACAGTAAACTTTGACGAAGGAAAGAACAAAGAAGGCTTCATGGGAGTACTTGCTGCAATTCAAGACGGAAATAAGAAAGGACACAATCTCAGACTAACCGTAACAGATTTAGATGGTCATATTTACTATGCACATGGCAATGTCACAACAGCCGCACAACTTCTTGACGCTTTCAAGACTACAAAGAGAGAACAAATGTTTGACTCCGACTCAGACATTTTGAATGCAATTGAAGGAATTGCAAGCGTGAAGTTCGAATGGTACCAACCTAACCCTCAAGCAGTCAGACAACATGCTGGATACTTCCCGTTCAGAAATAAGTCTGACATTAACCTGACAAGGTATGGAATTTACAATTCAATTGAAACAATTGTCAATGAACCTTGTATTCTTACATGTCTCAGGAACTCTGGTCTTGTTACAGATGAGAAGATGAAGTATCTTGAGTCATGTGTGAAAACAAGGTACATTCTTAGAGGTCAATTGTCAAAAGTTGCACCGTTGGCAAATGTGAATATCCGAGTCAACATTCCGACTGAGAAAGGTTCTTCACATGACGACTATGTTGTTGACAAAGACTTACCATGGTTGAAGATTGTAATTGTCCACAACCACTTCATGTTGAACGAAAGTCTTACAAACCCATTGTTCGGAAAAGGCAAGTGCAACATTGTCAGAGCTGTTAACATTCTTTTCGAGAAAGGCTTGTTGGAACCAATTCCAGATGACAAGCTGACAGAAACTTTTGTACCAAAAGACGAAACAAACTTTTCATTGTTGGTAAGACCAAAAGTTGTTCCAGACAAAGTTATAGCACAAAAGAAGTACAAAGTTCCAAAAGGAGTTGGATTGTTCGGATACCAACCTGAACCAGAAGAACTTCCAATGAGGTTGCAAGAACTTCAAGATGCTATAAACAAACTCCCATTGAGGCATCCAATCGACGTCAAATTGTATTGGAGAGCTTCTGAGTTAGGTCAGAAGGTTTTATATGAAACAGGTTGCTTCGACGATGTTTATGAGATAACAGGAGAAGTTTCTCAAAAGATAAGAGACTCACTTGAATTTCCACGAACTGGACCAATCGGTTGCGACAAGTTCGACTCATATGAAAAAATATACTATGTCGACCTTAACGCTGCGTACATGAGGTTCGTCCAATATATTCCGACTGGAATTCCAAACGAAGATGGTGAGTTCCCGGGAAGGAACTATACAGTTGGAAAAGTCATACAACAACTCTATGATATTAGGAAAGCTTCAAACCCCAAACTTGCAATGACACTCAAATTGCTTATGAATTCGACATGGGGATATTCCATTAAGAAACCTCAAAAGATGAAGAGTAAACACTATGAGAAGGTCGACAACTTTGTTGAAAGGTTTTCTCCTTTTGTTTTGAAGTACGAGTTCACCGAAGGTCAAAATGGCTTAGTAACCACAGTAAAACCTATTGTCGAACATTGGTCTTACCCTCAGTTCGCAAAAGCAGTCCTTGACAACTACAACAAATTCTTCTCCGATGTCAAATCCAAAATTGTGGTATACTATGAGAACATCGATGCACTCATGACGAACGAAGAAGGGTACAACAAACTCATTGAAATGGGAATGGTCGGTGAAAAGATGGGCTTTTTTAAGCTAGATAAGGTATTTTCCGAAGTTCATGTAATATCGAAAAGGAAGTACTGGGGAATACTTGAAGACGGCACAGAAATAAAACATTGCATGAAATAAAAAATTGCATGAAGTAAAAACGTTTTTAAAACAGTATATTTTTACATATATAAAATGCTTCAGGTTGAAAAACAAAGAACAAAAGTAGCAGATACAAAACCGTTAGACTATATCTTTACAAATGCTGGTAGGACTATATCAGATGAAGAAATTTCATCCCGATCTTACAGGTTTGACTATCCAATTCGTTGGCTTCAAAGTCCTTCAGATGCAAAGGCAATAGGATTTAGAAGAGTTTTGTTTTCAAATAGAACTAACGCGTTTATGTTAGCAGTATATTTTCACGGTCAGTATAAAGGTTCTGATGGTCTAATAGAAAAATTTGATGAAATGAAAATCTTTACAATTCGTTCAGACGAAAGTCTTGAAAAACTCTAAATGACTTTCAAACTCAAAAACAAATACTACTGGGAATTTCAAGAAAAATACCACTCTTTACTAAATGGAACATACTATCTGAAGCTAGAATACGACAAGATGAACTCCACAGTTTCATTTCAAAAGATTGAAATTAACCCTCCAAGAGATACAGAGTTTTTATATTGGGGAGTAGACAAACGTTCTTGGGCGCAATTTCTTCGGTTACTAAACCAGAACGAACCATTGCCACCAGATGGTCCATTTAAATTTATACTTCCACCAGCAGATTTGACAGTTTATAGAAACGTGTTTGACCCTCAAAATGTCATGTTTCATGCAAGTTTCAGTTCAAGCAACAACAGTTTTCTATGTATCGGTAAGGACTTTTATGACTTTGCTTCTAAATTCTACGAACCACCTAGTAACAGTTTCTCTGACTTTCAAGTTTGGTTCACAACAAACGGTGTGCAGCATATAATACCATTGTACTATGACTTTTATCTCGAATTGTCTTTCATATACAACTACGGAAAAGTGCTGAAAAAGTATTGAAAAATGAGTTTTGGTTGAAAAAAGAGGTGGAGCCAAAAGTGGCTCAACCTCAAAACAAGCATTTTGTGAAGAATATACCAACCCGCGGAATTCCGCGGGTTGCTTTTTATACAAAATTCAACAGGTGAATTTTCATGAATTTCCTTAAGATAGAAAAAAAGTGAGTTAAAATGAGATTTTTATCGTTGTGGTCCGACGGTTAAGCCACAAACGAATGTCCGACGGTTAAGCCACAAACGAATGTCCGACGTCCCACCAAAAAATATTTTTTATTTTTATTGTACGTACTGAAATGACAGTCGAAGCAAAAACGTTCACGAACAAATCTAATGGCGAAACATTCACAAAAGGCACTTACAACGGTATTGAAGTCTTACGTAGAGACAAGGATGGTTATATAAATGCAACAAATATGTGTCAGCAGTTTAGGAAAGACTTTAGAAAGTTGTTGGAAAATAAGTCCTGGGAAGAGTATTTTAAGGCATTTTGTGAAGAATATACCACCCGCCGGAATTCCGGCGGGTGCTTTTTATACAATGTTAATGCAGGAATTCCCGATGAAATCAAGCAGGTTAGAGGAACGTATGTAGACCCAAGACTTGTAAACTATATAGCAATGTGGGCTTCTCCAAAATATTGCATAGCAGTTGGAAAAATTCTGGACTCCATAGACAAGAAAGTTCATGAGAAATTAGATGAAGAAGAACTCGAAGATACAGCAGAGAATGCTAAACCTTTGTTCGAACAAGAAGTTAGAAAAATGCGTTTAAAACAAATAGAACATGAACATGAGATATGTTCTGGTTATAGAGACTCTCCATACGAACTAGACCAATGGGAACAAGAAGATTTAAAGAGAGAATTTAGAGAATATGAACTCGCTAAGATAGCATTAGAAGCTGCAGAAGAGAGGTTAAAAGTTTGGGGTCGTTTTGTACAAAAATATTGTGAGTAAATGAACCATTTTTTTATTGAATTCGGCAAAAATAGATTTTAGGTTAGATGGTTTTTAGGTGTCACTACGTCACCAGGTCACCAGGTCACTCGGTTAAACGAACTTCTCTGAAAAAGTGTGACAACATGACATTTAGACAACAACACAGGAGATAGACTTCATCGTAAATGTTTTGTATAAAAAGCACCCGCCGGAATTCCGCGGGTTGGTATATTCTTCACAAAATGCTTGTTTTGTTGAGACTTCATCGTAAATGTTTTGTATAAAAAGCACCCGCCGGAATTCCGCGGGGTGGTATATTCTTCACAAAATGCTTGTTTTGAGGTCGAGCCACTTTTGGCTCCACCGTATTTTCAACCAAAACTCTTGAATTTTGTTGTTCCCGGACCAAAACATATACGAAGAAGTCTATCTCCTGTGTTGTTGTCAAAATGTCATGTTGTCACCATTTTCAAAAAGATGTTAGTTGACCGAGTGACCGAGTGACCGAGTGACCTGGTTAGATCTAAAATATATTTTTGCTGAAAAAATGACCAAATTTCATGATATAACTGTATTTTTTTGACGAAGAGAACTTTTGCACTTCGTAAAAAAAATCCCTGAAATCATGAAAAAATCCAAAAATTTCATGATATAACTGTATTTTTTTGACGAAGAGAACTTTTGCACTTCGTAAAAAAAATCCCTGAAATCATGAAAAAATGACCAAATTTCATGATATAACTGTATTTTTTTGACGAAGAGAACTTTGACACTTCGTAAAAAAACTCATGAAATCATATCTTTTATACAAAATTCATGAAGAATACGAGTGGGTTCAGTTTAACAAACAACTCCGTCTCATTCGTTCGGTCAAAGACGATATGTACCAAATGCAAAGTATTTTGACAGCATGTTTTGCTCCAGATACCAAACATACAGACGATTGGTTCAAAAACCAAAGCACACAAGAACTTTTGAGTGAAATTTCTCTAGACCGACTTTTCTCGGTCTTGCATAAAACTCATGAAAATCGTGAAAAAATGACCAAATTTCATGATATAACTGTATTTTTTTGACGAAGTGAACTTTGACACTTCATAAAAAAATCCCTGAAAACAGTGAAAAAATGACCAAATTTCATGAATTTCCTCATATGTTTGCGTCCCGCGGAAAACCGCGGGTCGAGATTCCGTACGAAAATCGTAAAAAAACTCTATGAAAATCGTGAAAAATTGCGAGTAGGGGAAAAAATCTGGTCGCCTAAAACTCATGAAAATCGTAAAAATTTGGCGAGTAGGGAAACCGGGGTCGCCAAAACTAACTGAAAATCGTAAAAAAATTGCGACCCCGACTTTTCCCGGGGTCGCCTAAAACTCATGAAAATCGTGAAAAAATGACCAAATTTCATGATATAACTGTATTTTTTTTGACGAAGAGAACTTTTGCACTTCGTCAAAAAAATCCCTGAAATCATATCTTTTATACAAGATAAAACAACGTTAGTTTTTATTTTTTTTATTTTTTTATTTTGTATGTAAGAACAGGAAATGACAAGCACTGAGTTTGAAACAGTTAAAAAGATAGACAAATGAGACCAAAGTGGTTAGAATAGGTTTTAAACGTAAGATACTCAAAGAAATACAAAAAATATTCTTTGTCAGACATTTTAAACTATCTGAAGGAAAGAAAGCACACGACTGGTTAAAAATGCTTCAACTCAGAAAATTTTGACAAAAAAATCCTGAGCTTATGATATCAGTAAGATTTATGGAACAAGAGCATATCTTATAGACAAAAGTCTTATACCAGTAGTTTTGTTCTGGATTGACCCAGTTGTTGGATATAATTTCATAACATATGGTTCATTCGATACGGAACGTTGCAGTGAAGGCTTACTTTACATCGTTCAGAAACCGAAGGACTTCAATACAAAGAGATATAAGATAGGAAGAACATTTAATATAACTCAAAGATATGACAGTATAGTCAATAGAGTTAAGGTTGCGTTTGTTAACGATATGAGAGCTGCTGAAACAGAACTACTTGAAAAGTTTGAGAAATGTATGGTGCTCCCACGAAGGTAAAGAAACGTTTGAAGTAGATGAGATGACAAAGCTATAAAATTATTTGACGAAGTTGCTGAAAAATACATGTAAAGCGTTTATTTTTGGTCTTTTATACAAGATAGAAATAACGCTAGTTTTTATAAAATATTTTTTTTTTATTTTGTATGTAAAGACAGATATGACAACAACAGAGAACACAACAACTGCTATCGTTCATGAAGCTATAGATGAAGAATACGAGTGGGTTCAGTATAACAAACAGTTACGTCTCATTCGTTCGGTCAAAGATGACATGTACCAAATGCAAAGTATTTTGACAGCATGTTTTGCACCAGATACCAAACATACAGACGATTGGTTCAAAAACCAAAGCACACAAGAACTTTTGAGCGAAGCACAGCGAGACAGACTTTTTTCGGGTCGCCAAAACTCTATGAAAATCGTAAAAATTTGCCAAATGGTTTGAGAGGTTGGTATGTACATAGACTTCTTGTAAATGCTGTGGCACAATGGGCTTCGCCTCGTTATGCTTGGTATATTTGCAGACTTCTTGACGAAATTCATAGACAAGAACGTGAAGAGCTAGAGAACAAGCTTGAAGCAAAAGACAAAAACATACAGAAAAGAATACCACGTTCGGTACCAAAAGGAAAGGAAAAGAACTATAAGTATATGATTTACACTGAAGAGATGGAGAATGAAGAAGACAGAGATATGGTTATGTTGCATTTAGTCAGAAGAAACAACAAAAGCTTTTACGACTTAGCTAAGATTTACAAATCTGACAGAAATTGGTTCTATCGCGAAAACTTACCGATTTCAATGACACCAAATGAAGATGTTAAACAGATAGTTCAAGATACGTTACCTCAAACACACTATGATATGAAAGGTTGTACAATACTTACATTCAAAGAAGATTTGCCGCTACTGAAGGAAAAGATAACAGAGTATTTTGACAACTTCAAAGAGGAAGAGTAAATGAACCATTTATTTTTCAAGCTTGACACCAAAGATGGCTCAGGTAGCTCTAGATGGTAAATTGTCTTGTCCGAGTCCTTCTGGCATTCCGAGTCCTTCTAGCATTCCGAGTCCTTCCTTCTGGCATTCCGAGTCCTTCCTTCCGACAGGAAAGGTCCTTCCTTCCAACAGGAAAAGTTTTTCCTTCCAACAGGAAAAAAATTTCCTTCCAACAGGAAAAAATTTTCCTTCCGACAGGAAAAATTTTTCTTTCCGACAGGAAAAATTTTTCCAGTTGTCCGTCCGTAAACCATTCAAATTTTCGAAAAATTGAGAAACTTTTTGGCCGACCTTCAGGAAAAGTTTTTCTTTCCGACAGGAAAAATTTTTCTTTCCGACAGGAAAAGTCCTTCCTTCCGACAGGAAAAGTCCTTCCTTCCGATCCGACAGGACACAAACGAATGTCCGACGTACCACCAACCGAGTCCATTCCAAAGCCAGAAGAACCGACAGCCCCAGCACCACAACAGACTAAGACTCAAACACTTACATTTTCAAGCTTGACTTTTTACAATTTGAACTTTGTTTGCGTAGATATGAATTCTGAAAGAAGTATGAGGGTCTTGTATGACTTTGTACTTCTCCCATAGTTCATGTCTGTCAAACTTACCTGCCATGGACTCTTTCATAAGTTCCATGAAATCGTCTTCGGACAATCCGGGGAAAAGTACAATGTCAGTAAGTATTCTCTTTACATCCTTACTTAAACTCTTGGCTGTCTGTACACAAATGACAACTGAGATGTTAAAGTGTCTGAGCTTCTTAAGAATTCGACACATGTCTTGTTCTCTGTTCTTTAACAAAGGATGAGAAGCAAAGTCATCTAAGATAAGAAGACATCTATGAGGGTAAGTCTTCCAATCGTAAGATTGCAATTTCTTCGAAATGTATTCTATCTCTTTCTGTTTGTTTCTGAAGTGTTTCTTCTCTAATATTCTCTGCATTTCCTCATTTGGGTCTTTAAACCTCGAATTGACATACTCATTTATAGCATTGTACTTCAAAACTCTTCTTTGTACTTCTTTATCCAATCTAACAACTCAGAGTCTTTTATACATACTAACTTAGACTTTTTATAATATCTTTGAACGAATTGACGGTTTGGTCAAATTGACCAGAAGTACTACAAATGACTACTAACTCATAGAATGGGTTCTTCTCATCTAGTTCTTGTTGTTGTGCAGCCATTTTAAGATAAGTGAAAGTCTTACCCGACCCAGGTGGTGCAATTAGACCTGTTATACCATTCTGAGCAAATAAGAACTTGTCATGTATGGGTTTTATCTGAGCATTTCCAACTTCCTCTTGTTCTTGTTTAAAACATTCTCAAATTTCTTGTCAATGTCAGCAAACTTTTTTCTAACATTTTTAGAAAAATTAAAAATTTTATCTTTTAGGAAATGTCTAGCGATTTCGCTATCTATATTCGAGACAAGCTTTTCGACAGCAAAACATCTGTCGACCATAAAATCTTACATAGTGTAAACAAGAAAGGGGAATTTGTTCTAAAGTTCTGTTTCTGGGAATATGACAAGAACCATAAAACCTTAAGCAGAGAAGTCTTAAAATTTGTCAATGACAGACTTGTTGACAGAGATGACGCCTCTTGGAGAGATGAAGTCAACAAAACTTCTTAGAATGCAAAGAAGACACATGCGCTGTTCTTGAAAATGAAATAGAAAACAGAATAGAAGAGCTATTAAAGGACAAAGAACTTTTACAAAAATATGGTTCTGAGAAGTTTGACATAACTCCACCAGAGAAGAAGAGAGAGAAAGAAAGAAAAGAAAGTAGAAGAAGAGAAGAAAGAACCAGTTCCAGAGAAGGGGAGATATGACATGTAAAAATAAAATTTTATTTTTAGAACATTTCTGGGTCAATGTCAATGTTCTCTTCCTCTTTAGGAGCAAACACTGGCTTAGACTCTAAAATCTTTTTACCCAATTTACCTTGAACTTCAACTATCTTAGACTCATAATATTCATAGTCGTCTGCTTTCTTTGGTTCATAAGGTATAACAAGTTTGTATGCTTTGCCTTCTTTAAGGTTTGAAAACCTTCTGTCAAAACTTTCTTTGACTGTTAACAAACCTTCTATGTCTAAGTCTTCAAATTTCGCACCATTTTTAGTCACAATAGCAAACTTAACTGGTTCGATGTTCCAAACTTTGTCAAATGAAGACTTTTCAAAATGGTAGAAGTAAACATTCAAATATGTGAATGGGTCTAGTTCTTCTTTAAGTCCTGACATGTACTTGTTGACTGAGATGAATTTCGTCATCTTTTCTATCGGATAAAAAAAATATTTTTTTTTAAAATTTACTCAGAAAAATTTTCTTTGTATATACACCATTCTGTACGTCTAAAAGACTTTTGACATTTGCCAAGAATGTTCGTTTAGACGCTGTCATATAACCATACTCTTGGCAATATTGTTTATACGAATCGTACAATGACCTTTCATCTAAACACTCAAAGTCAGTTTCATCTATGAACAGTTCATATACACTCTTGTTTGCTTCTAACAATGTTTGTCTCTCTTCGGTATGTGGAATTTGTCTTGGATTGAACTTTGAAATATCTAATGTCATGAAATATGAGAACAAGTGGTTGTAAAAGTTAGGTGTCAAAGTTTCTGCTAAGTCGTCAAAATATTCTGTATCTTGCATATGAGCTTCTGACGTTCTGACAACTACATATCTTCTGTCAGAACTTTCTAACTTCATCGGAACGGCGTTGTTTGAAACCATGATGAAGTTTGCAACATTTTCACAAACTCTTTGGTCTTTATATTTTCTTTCAACAACTCCAACTTTGTCTGTTATAAGACTCTTCAAAGCATCTGAGTTCAAAACTTTTGTTGTATCTATACTTTGAAGTTCGTTACATACTATAAGTTTCATATTCTCTATTGAAGAGTTAAATTTACCGCAGATGTTTTCTAAGTTTGTCATATTAGGGTTCGAATAGCCCTCTAACAGTTTGCATAAGATATCTGTAAAAAATGTGTTCTTACCTGTTCCTTGTTTTCCAATTATGATGAGAGCAGTTTCATTTTTAGCACTTGGATGTTGTAAGATGTTTGCAAACCAACATAAGATATACTCATAGACTCTTTCGTTTCCATTGCATATAATTTCTTTGACATGGTCTAACCAAGCTTCTATAACATTTTCTTTCCATTCTACTTGTTCGTATTTATATCCAGTGAAGATAGAATAGAAGTTTGGAGATGGTGTATAGAACTTTATACCACGAACTGAAAAATCTTCTAACTTTGACAATAAGATATCCCAAGCATCTAACATCTTCATTCCAACTTGTACGACTTTTATTTTCTTAAGTTTCTGTTTACATTCTTGTTCTGAAACTATTGTCGCTCTTGGTTTGTTAAAGACTACATCCCATTCTTTCATAACATAACATTCTGGGGCAGAGTCGACATAAATGACTAAACGTTTCAAATTCTCGACTGCTTTGTTATAGTCTCGAAATGGACACATATTTCTGAAGGCTTGGAAGTCATAAAAATCTGAAACGTCTATTCTGTACATTTTTATAAAAATAAAAAAAAATATTTTTTTTATTCTTGACTTTGTTGTTCTTGAGCTATTTGTTGCATTTGTTGTTCTTGAGCTATTTGTTGTTGAAGTTGTTCTTGTAGTACAATACTTTCACCAGTTGCATCTTCCAATTCGAAACTTTCTGCCGTCATTGACAAATACATAGGACATAAAAGTTTTACAGGAACAAAGTTTGCGTCAACTAAGGTTAAGTTTATGTTTGCTAAAGTGTTTGAGTTCACTAAAGCTGAAAACTCTGCATTCGAATGAACAATAGGCAAACCAGCAGAGAAAGTGTTGTTTATACGCATGAGTATCTTTTGGTCATAGTAGTTTCTGTCGACATTCGAATAACACTTTGAACCTAAGTTTGAAACAATATATAAAATAGGTGTACTTAAAGTCAATGGAACAGATAGACCTTGTATGACACCTTTTCCTGTTATAGGAAACTGTTGGTAGTAAAAACCAGATATAAGTTTTGTATTATAGCTCATATCGTTTATACTAAACTCAGTCGGACATCCAAACATAATGAAACCTGCTCTAGTTGCAGCACATGTTACATCCGTCCTTAAAGTATTAAATAAGTCAACAAAACCTGTTGGTGGTATATCTGAGTAAGTATCTTCAAAGAAGTATTTTTTACCATTCACAACAATAAAATCTTCTGGTGTCAAAAGAGCAAAACAGGCTTTAGTCGTCATCGTGTTTAAGGTCAGTTTACAATATCGTCCTTGAGGACTTTGTAAGTTTGTTGTTATAGAATTATATGACTCAGGGTTTTTAGTCGTAATAGTATAAACCACTATGTCTTCTGCCATTTACATATATTTAAAAGTTTTTCTGAAAGTGGAGAAGAACTTCATCTAAACTTTCACATGGCGTTTCTTGAAGTTCTCTGTCTAAGAAGTTCAAATATTTTGTAAAGACATAGAACTTTCCTTTGTCTACACGAACAAACAAAACAGGGTCTTTCATATCGTTCAAAAGTGTGTAAAGTCCTTTACATGAAATAAAGTCTATATTGTTTTTCTTCAAACATCTTTCAAGAAGTTTTGACATTTTTACTTAGCAAACAAACTTTAATGAAATGTTGTGGTCGTCAAATATTTTTATGACGTCTGGGAAACTATATTTTAAGTTCAACGTTTCACCTCCTTTCATAACGTATATCTTGTCAATGACATTATATGAAACACCACAGCAAGCAATGTCGGGTTCTATTTCTTTGATGTTTATATCGTCTGCCTCTGTCAAAAGTTTCAATAGTTCTTTCAAAATTTCATGAGGTGCGATGACATATGAGTTCACTTTTACAGGGTTGTGCTCAACCAAGTTTAACATTAGACCTAAAGCTTGACAAATCTTCTCCTGAGTTTTAAGTTTGTCTTTAAGTTGTTGGTAGTCATTTCGAATATCTGCAACAGAACTTAAGTCTCTGCTAACTTCAGGATATGTTGGTTGTTCTTTTACAGGAACTATTGTTATACCATCTTCGTCTTCGTATGGTTTCCCCACTTCAACATCTCTGTCTTTGACATTGACAACAACACTTTGACTGTTTGTTTGAGTTGGTGAATTTAACTTCACATCTGCCACCGCCATTAAACCTTTTGAAACACTTACGCTTCTATTTTTCGGAAATGACATTTTACTTAGAATAAAAAGATGGACGTATTTGAGTATCTCTTCGAATTGAAGCAAAACAAAGTTTACACACACAAACAATACAAGTTCATTGATAGAATAGTTCTTTATACAAACAATGGAAAATGTTATAGAATAGCAGTCTTTGCTGAACCAAAATATTTTCATAAAGCAAAGAAAGTTGGTATAACCGAGATGGTGAAAGTTCTTGAAGCAGACAAAAATATAACAACAAAACTGACCGATATTTCTAAAGGTAAGTTTATAATACAATATTATATCAAAACTGGCGTACTGTCAATATTTGACGGAGAGAAGTCAGTTCAAGAACAACTTACTGACCTGCTGCCAAAATCTGCTCGATGGAAGCTGTCGTTATACCAATCTGAGGAGCCCCAGCAGGTTTCATCGAACGAATTTTCAAAAGAGCATCTTCCGTGAAAAGTGCTATTGGTTTTGTAAACTTCTTTGCTTTCAATTCATTTGGACGTCTCTGTCACCAGTATATTGTATTTGAACTGTACCAACAGTTGAAATACCACCCATAAAGTCTTCTGAGTCAGCAAATGGAATGCCAAGCCAAAAGTTTGAACGGTCTCCATTTGTATATTGAGTTTTTTGACCTCCTGCATGAGTCCATACTTTCACATATGGCATAATAGAACTTTGCATTTCAGGGTTAATGGTTGTTGTGAAGTTGTTGTTAAAGTTCATAGCATCTAATGTCAAGTTGTATGACCTCATATCCTCAACTGTAGAATATTCTTCTCTTGGATAATATTTGCCATCTATGTTTATATGATATTTAATACCGGGGTTGTAGAAACAAGAATAGTCATTTATAGTTCGTCTGAACAGTACAAACATAGTATCTGCATGTTTCATTGCAGTTGTTAAGGCAATATCTGTTCTTGCACCTGGGTCAGCACTTTGGTTTCCAACTTCACCTGCAAAGTCTTTGACAGATATTTGGTGTATAGGGAACATAAGTGGAACTGCAATATATTTGGCAGCTAAAGCATTTGAAATATCTGGGTCCAACATATAGACTGCAAGTCTGCTTTCTATTCTCTTGCATTCAAACTTTTCGCATGTGAACTTAACTGGGTCCCAAGCAGTTCCAGCAGCATTGAAGTAGTAGTTTACTTCAGTGTTGAGGTTTGAGAAACCAAAGTCTAAGTCAACTTTGTCTTTGCAAAATTCGGCGAATGACGTTTGATTTGCTCCCTTTACGTCTGTAAGAGTGAATGGGTCTTGTGTTGGTGCAATGACTAAGTTATTTTTGCTTGGAGTAAGTTCGATAGAAATTTTTCCTGCCCAGTTTGGCAAGTATCTTAAAAACCTGAAGATGAGGAAAGATGACAAAGGAACTCTAAGTTTCAGTTTTACTTTGGTTACTGCTGCTGCAGTTTGTCCAGAAAGGTCAACATAAACTCCTGGAACGTTAGGGTCAAGTCTTCTTATTTTTTCAATAGTTGCATACTGGTCTGTTTGTTCTCTAGCTTGTGGTTGTACTGAGTTTCTTAAAGCGAACCATTCATAGTTTGCCCATGTTACTGTTTGAACTAAGTCAGAGTTAGAATATATCTTATATCCCATGAAAACTTCTGGAGCATATTGGTATCCGACATAGAAAATTCCATTGCAACCTTTCTTGTCAGACAACTTGGCAGAAGGTTTTATTTCAATGTCTTGTTCCACGTATAAGAAAGAGTTGTCAATAGAAATTATATGAAACCTGTCGCAAGCAATATCTACTGTTGTTGAAGAACCTTCTCCAAACTCACCTACGTTTCCATAAGAAACAGCAGTTGTATATTCGTAAGTTCCAGGAACTATTTCTGACCTTCTAATGGCATTGTCGCATTCGTTATACCATTCGGAAACATTTCCATTCATAGCATCCAAAACTGTTGGCGTTATATTCTGAGCGGCGTACATTTCATATGGGTAAAAATATAGAATAGTTGGATTTATATGTCATAATAGAACCCACTCCGACCAAGCTTTACTTTCTTCCTGACTGAGTTTTTAACTCTTCTTTTTCCTTCATTGCCACTACTTTCACTAGATGAAGTTACTTCTTCACTACTTTCACTTTGTTCTACTCTTCTCTTCTTCTTTGGTGTCGCTTTTGGTAACTTGCCCTCTGCTTCAAGTTGTTGCATCTTTGCCTCATGTTCACCTAGTATGTTGTAAATTTCCCATGTCCTTTTTGCCTTTGGGCTCTGGTCGCCCATCTCAGGTAACCTATATCCTAGAAAGATTTTGTCATAGTTTGTATTTGAGTCTTCGCGTATTGTTTGCATGACTCTTTCCTGAGTTTCCGGTTCAAGCTCTTCAAACAGTGCCTGTCCATATGGAATAAGCTCGTTTCCAAATATATGTTTTTGTAGCCATTCTGGTTTTCTTTCCATGTTACCAACAATATCCTTTGTGAATGGGAAAGCTTTTACCCAATCTTTCAGTCTTGCGTCGTTTATTTCTGTAGTTGGTTTTATTTTGTCAAGGAACATGTTTTTCAATACTAACATTTCATTTGGTACTGTCCATTTGAGTTTTCTTAAATATTCATCCCTTCTCAGTTCATTGTCTGCAAAGTAAGTTTTTATGACATTTTGTAAACTTTCGTTTGCAAGGTCATGTACAATAGGTTCTCTTCCTTCTCCCTCCCTAACTTTCTTTCTAAACTCTTCACCAAATATACCATCTCTATGGTTCTGTGTAGTTCTTTGAGATAAATGTTCTAGAACTTCAGGTGTTATATTTCCATCAGCCATGTTCATTTCATACTGGTCCAAAATATCTGCATGTTTCATATCTTTCAATGGCATTAAAGCCGCGCTTAAAATACCAGCTATATCTGGTTCACCATTGACTTCCATTGCGTCTACAACTTCTTGGAATTGTGGTTGTAAGTTTATGAACCACCTATCCGGATTAGCTTTATGACCCCATCTCATTGTAGTTCCATCGTCTGCAGAAACAAAAGTAGGTTTGTTTCCATCTTGGTTAGGTTCTGAATGAACTTTAAACAATGTTTCATTTCTATATGTTTTCTTGAAATTTAACCTTTTATTTTCACCGAGTTCATCCGAAGATTGAACGTTAAATGCTCGTAAGTAAAAAGGGTTGTTGTATTTGTGTACATTTTCTTTCAGTACTTCCATTCTATGCTGAATATTTTCATCTGGTGTTGGAGTCTTTTGTATGTCAGCAAACATTTTTCGATATTCTTCTACTATGTCAGCCGAATTTTTTTTAGACTCTTGGAAAGATTCCATATTCTCCGCATACTCTTGTTGAGGGTCAAGATTTTTCGGCTGTTCCAAATCTTCATCTAGTTCTGTGAAGTTAGTTTCCAAAGGAGAGACTTGTTCGTTTCCTTCAGGCTCTTCTAGCTGTTGTTGCTGAACTATTTCTTCCATGTCTGGTTGTATCTGAACTTCTTCCTGTGGAGTTTCTTGTACCTCATCTGCTGGCATTTCATATATTCCGAGACCGTTTTCAACAAATTCCCTATTTAAGTCATCCGCATTCATAAGCCTTTGTTCTTTCGTTCCGTCTCTATTTTTTACGCGTTTCATGCAGATAGTTGAATCATTATTTAGCTCTGACACCAAATATCTCGGAGTAAATTCGTTCATGTCATTTGGATGATATGATATTAAATCATATCCCTTAGCGAGCTTGTATTTTCCAGGTTTGAAATTATATCCGATTTGGTGCTGAGCCATAAAGCTAAATAGGTTCGGGTCAGCATTTCCATCCTTGAACTTTCTAATAGCTTCTTTATATCTGTCACTAAAGTCAATAGTATCTGGGTAACCATAGTCTTCTTTAAGCATTTTTAAGAATTCTTGGTTTCCTTGTTCTCTACTTCTTTTATGTCCTTGCTCTGGTTGTGGAGGTGGTTGTTGTGCAGGGTTTTGAACTGTTGGTTGTTGTGCTGGTTTTGGTTGTTGTTGTGGTGCTGGATTTTGAACTGTTGGTTGTTGTGTTGGTTGTTGTTTTGGTGCATGCCTGTGTCTGTGTCCATGTGACGATGTAAATGTTTTAGGTAGTCCTGGTGCAGGTGCTTCTCTTGGAGGGTTTGGTGGTATATAAATTCCAACAGCTGGTATATAAGTTCCACCAGCTGGCACATATGTTCCATCTGCAGCGTAATGTCCTACCTGACTTTTCGTTCTTAAGAAAGCATTTACTAGGTCTGTTTTGGTCTGTTGTAACTCTTTTTCTTGACTTTTCACAACAGTTGCTCTAACGGCGTCATAGGCACTTTGAACTGCCTGTCTCGTTGCTGCATCTGTTATTTTCGTCATATTTTGTGCTACTTCTTTTAACTCTTTGTCGAAACCTTCAGACTTCAGTTTCTTTCCAGATGAGAAATCGTTCACTTGTTTCACCTTACTATGAAGAGCTTCGAAGGCGTTCTTAAAGTCAGCATTTGTTAAAGCTTCATTTGAACTGTCTTCATCCGCTTGTATTTTTGTCCTTATTGACCCTATAAGCTGGGCTGCTTTGGCGTTGGCTTGGGCATCTACCCAGTCATTGTTAGCTTTTATATATTCTGCGCTTTTCATTGCCTTTTGCATGGCTGCGTCGTTATTTTTACTTTCTTGTGCTAAGTTTTCATACTGTACGGTTTGGTTTTGCAACTGTAAAAGTTTTTCTGCCTTTACATTTGCTTCAACTTCCTTTTTATACTCATCGCTATCCATATATGTCTTCAGGGCTTTTTGTTTTATCTCTTCATCTTTCAGTACTTTATATTGAGTAGTATGGTTTTTCAAATTTATGACATCTTGTTCCATTTTTGCTACTTCTGCTGCTTTTTCTGACACTTTTTTCGCATATTGCTCTGTACTTAGTTCTTTCAGTTGTTCTTCTTTCTTCTTTTTCTCTACGTTTAACTCATTGAGTTTCTTTGTGTGTCTGTCATATTCTAGTTTCTTTTCGTTTTCACCTATTTGCTTCTGTATGTCTATGTTTGACTTTTTGACATCTGCTATTTGATTTTTGAGTGAACTCAAATTCATTTGACTTTGAGGGTTATAGGCTGTTCCGTCTGCAGCTCCACCAAAGCCTGCCATTTTCGCTAAAAGTGCCGCTCTTAAACCTCCACTCTGTGCACCAACAACTCGGTTTAAAAGCATAGGATTGCTTGACATTTGTTGCAACATAGTGGGGTCATTCATCATTTGTTGTTGCAACTGTTGTTGTGGTGTCAGTTTTACTATTGGATGTTTCAATGCTCTCTTCCTCTTACGTATATTCTTACGTAGCTTACGTGGCATTTTAAGTGAAGTTAAAAAGCGGCTTTTGACAGATGTTTATATGACACTTTCTCCGGTTTATAGGACCTCTCTCATATTCTATATTGTCAAGACTTCCTGGACTGTTGTCAAAATGTCATGTTGTCTCATTTTTTCAGAGAAGTTCGTTTAACCGAGGGACCGAGGGACCGAGGGACCTGGTGACGTAGCGACGATAGACCCTTACTTGTCCGGACATAGTTCTACTATTTTGAGTCCTCTACCAAAAAGTCAACAGCAACGACTTTCAAAAATTTTTAGGGCTAGAAGGCACGAAGTGCCTGGGAAGCCCCCAGCACCCAAAAAAAACCTCATTTTATATAAACTGCATGTTATACTAAACATCTTCAGGGGGCTAGAGGGGCGCAGCCCTGGAAGCCCCAATACCTTTTTTTTTTTTTTTTTATATACCCATTATTTTGAATTGATAGAAAAATAAGATATAAATTCGATTTGATGTTTCATATCATATTAAAATTTGCGGGATTTATAGTATTTTCCTTCAAAATCAGAATTACTCTATTTTGTCAAAATCAAACAAAATAATTAAGTTATCAATCCAATATAAGAAAGAAAATACGCTCTTTACTACAATAATAACACAGATTTATCAGAATTTCTTATGGCGGGATATTTTCTCTAAAAAGGTGGAGACCGTTTAGTTAAAAAAAAATTCAGAAATAAAAAAATGTTCGACTCAGGCTCTGACTGTGACTTGAATACATCGGTCAATGCGAGCAACATGGATTCTGCAACCGATGCCCAACTCCTTGCTGAGACTTGCGGCGAACAGCTCCAAGAAGAAATTGCTTCTTTAACAAAACAGAATAATATTCTCCGAGCCCAGTTCGAGCAAGCTGTCGCTTTAACAGAAAAGATGGAAGATGTTCATAAAGAGAACGAACAGCTGAAGCAGCAGATCAGAGAGCTTAATAATCAAAAACAAGATTTAGTCCGTCGCCTCGAGATCTCCACATTAGCACAAAACGAGGCAGCAAAGAAGATTACTGAGGAAAGACAATCGATGAATGCTCAAAGAGAGTCTGATGTTGCGATCATACAAAAAGAAATGGAAAAGACAAAGAAATCGTTCCAAGCCCAAAATGATTCTCTTTATGATCAACTCCAAGCATCACAGTCCGCTAATGAGCAGCTCCAAATTGCTCAAAAGACTCTCCAAGGCCGAATCGAAAAAATGCTCGAGAACGCTTCTCACTACCTGAACAAAGATTTCCAATCTTTTGATGACCTTGCTAGTTTCTTTGAGAAACAAGCCTCTCAAGGTTTCATTGTCCAGGAACCACAAGAAACAGCAAAGAACATGCCGTTATTATTCGGACAGCCTTCTGACGATCGCTCCCAAGAATATGAAAGAAAGATTAAATCCATCAAGCAGCAGCTTAAGGCTGAAATCGCTACGAACAAGGAATTAGTACATAAATTAGACCTCGCTTCCAAGAACTCTGACCGCGTTGAGGCTCAGCACAAGAACGAAATCAACAATTTGAATACAAAGACAGCACAACTTAATGAGGAACATGCTCAGATTGTTCGCGATCTTAAGCGCAAGATTTCTCAACTTGAAACAAAGCTTGCTGCAGCCCAAACAAAGCCAGCACCAAAGAAGGAAGCTATAAAGCCAATCGTTGCTGCTCAAACCCAACCAGTTCAGGCTCCAGCTCCAGTTATTGCTCCAAGAATCATTGTTCAGCCACAACAGCAGCAACAACAGCCAGTTGAGCAAGCAAGACCATCAATCAAGCCAGCTGACCAGGAAATCATCAACGATCAATACATCGCCAGAATCAACGAACTCAACAAGCAACTTGATGAAGTCAACGGCAAGCTTAAGGCCTCTACTGAACAGAACAAGATTTCGGAGACACGTATCGGAGAACTTACAGTTGCCTTAGATAAGGCCGAGCGCGAGCATGCAGCACTCAAGACTGTTCACCAGGAAACAATCAATGAGGTTGAATCCATTCGCCGTGCTCTTCATGCAAAGGAAGAAGCTCGTGACAAGAAGGCCGAATTACAGCGCCGCCGTGACCAACAGAAGGCCAAAGCAACTATCATGAATCTTGAGAAGAACGCAGAAACACTTAAAGGCCAGATTTTCGAGCAGCAACTCGAATCTGAAAAGCAAAATCATCTCAACAACGAACTCAAGGCTAAAATCGCTGTTCTTGAATCAGAAAACAACGAATTACGCTCTAACTCTTCGAAATTACAAGCTGAGATCACAGATCTTACTCAAAAGGCAGCAATGAAGAAGGAATTGACAGAAGAAGATGTTCTCCCATCCACTTCATTCTCTACATCAAAATTTGAACCATCAATCGTTCAACAAATTGACAAGGTCGCTATGAATGGTTCTCTTTCTGCTGCTTCCAAATTACAGCACATCTACCACATTATCTCCAAGGCTTATAACCAGAAGCTTCAGGAGTTAACACGCGAATTAGATGAATCTGCTTCAGGAGCCGAAAAAATCGAAACAATTTTCAGCGATTTCATTGTCAATCTTTCCATTGCATTAACAGACAATGCTATTACTCTTGAGGACTTCATCAACAACAAACTCTCCCAGAATCTCGTTCAAGTCGCATCCGGCATCAGATCTCACGCTGCCGACGAACACAGACACGCTGAATATCTCCAGGCTATTGTCGATACATTTACACAGACGTTCGGTTCCGGCGCCGATGTTACAGCCCAAATTAACGCTGTCCGTGGCGAAATCGAGCAAAAGCAGAACGAAATCGAAGCCAGAAAGAAGAAGTCCAAGGCCCTCAAGACACAGTTAAGCGATGCTCTTACAAAGCTCCAAAACATCAAATCCGAGCGCGATGAAACCGAAAATCAGCTCAAAGATGAAGTGGCCAGATTAACCACACAAAACGACCAACTTACAGAAACCAACAGGAAGATGAAAGCCGAGCTCAAAGACGTCAAAGACAGACTTATTGAGAAAGAAGATCTCCTTGAGCAAGCCCAGCACAACATCGAAGAAAGAGAAGCCAACATTGAAGAAGAGAGAGAAGCATATGAACAATCAATCCAACAACAGCACGAAGAACTCGAGACAAAGCTTGCAAACGACCTCCAACAGCAACAAGAGACAAACGCAGCTCTCGAACAACAGCTTGCCAAGTTCAAACAAGCTGTCGCAATCCAGAATCAAACAATTTCGGAGCGCGAAAACAAGATTGCTCAGCTCCAGAAGGATTCAGATATCTTCGAGAAGTCAATAACAGCACGCGCTGAACTCGAGAAGAAGCAGATTGTTGAGAGCTACGAGAAGGCAATTGCAGAAATCACTGCACAATGCAATGCCCACAGAAGTGATGTTGAAAGACTTTCAGGAGAACTCGCAAAATCAGAGAAGAAAGTCAGAGACGCAAAGCAAATTGTTCTCAAGACAAAGAGAGATAACGCAAAGGCTGAAAAGGAACTCAAGTCAATGGAAGAACAGTTCAACCGTGAAAAGAAACTCCATGAATCAGCTCTCAAGAACGCTCAAATCACTGCTGAAGCAAACTTCACTCAGAAGATTAATGAAGTCAAATCTAAAGCAGAAGACGAGAGACGTAAGTTATTCGCTGTTGCCGCTACAGAGTTCAACATGTTCTTCAACGCAACAGAGCAGATCGATGAGAGATCCTATAAGAACATCATCCAGAAGGCAAAGAGCGAATTAGAAAGATTATCAAAGTCTGATTCCGCAATCAGAAGAATGGTTGGCGCTGGTTCTAAGCAGAGTACAGATGACGCTGTTGCTCAACTAATGATGGAACACTAAGTCTTATTAAGTTAAGATTTAGTTCTTATTTATTATTGTATTCAAAAAATGTATATGTTTTTTTTCTTATTCTTTTCTTTTTTTAATTCACTATTATTTATTTTAAAAAAATCAAAATTTTATTCAAACCCTTTTTTTGAAGATGAAAATCAATCAATTTAAAATTTATATCTTTATAATTATTTTTTTTGACACCATAAGATTACATATATAGCATATCATCCAGAAATTATTTATATCTGTGTAATCGGCATACAATAGCATAGTTGCTTCTCTCTTCAAATATCAACTCTAGTTTCAATCTCATATACCTTAAGGGTGCACCCGTATGTACGTTTATTTGAGAGGAGGAGGATTACCCTCTCAATTTTGAGGGATTCGTTAGTTTATTTTCTCGATGAATATGCAATAAAATTTGTATTTCCTTCAATATACTTCAATAATATACACAAAAAACTTTTTTCAAATTCTCAGTAGGGTTGTTAAAAACATCAAAAATTAGCGTTTTGAAGACACCATGGTGTCTTATAATTTTCCCTTCCTTATTGGCGTGTAGAAATAAATGCGCCAATAGATTGAAGAAGAAGAATTGTTTTTCTCTTAATGAACTTTAATCCTTTTGATATAAGAATATTAAAAACATTAATATAATTTCGATTTCGGAAATTAAATTTCCAAATTTTTTGTCGATTTCGGAAATAACAGGATCCCGCATCCAACACGCAACAACAAAACACAAAACACACTTTTTGGTTCTTTCATCGTTTTAATCGTAATTTATGTAATACATGATTTGGATAAATTTTACAAAAATAGAACCTATATTATATTCTTTTCAAAGATTCTTGCAAATCATCAAAAATAATTGTATTTTAAAAAACGATCAAATTATCCTTTCATTATTTTAAACTTAAATTAGTTTTTATGATTGACTAAAGCAATCATATTTATTCATCATTAAATAAACGAAAAAATAATATTTGAGAGTTATTTCAAAAAAAAACACATTGAATTTATTAATTTGTCTCAATTTCAGTATTATAAATTTTATAATTTCAATATTTTGAAATACACTTTTTAATATTTCAATATTTATGATATTTCAATGTATTAAGTGGTCTCAAATTGAGCTTCTCAAATATAAGTTGGCCTATTCAAATAATAAAATTAAATAATATTTAAAATAATAAAAATAAAAGTGATTGAGGTCATAGCAAAACGGCTGTTTCAGTCATTAATTCTTAAAAAATAAAAAGGGTAAAAACTAAATAAAATGGGTAAAATTCAATAGTGTCTGTGCTATCGTTCAATTTGAAGGTGTCTTTTGAAACCGCAAGACACATTGAATTTTTGAAATAGTGTATTATGGTTTGACAGACACCAATGAAAAAAATAAAATGATATTTATTTTAAATATATAAGATCCTTATATAAAAATATAAATATTTTATCGTTTTATTTTCTTGTTTTAGAAATGTTTTTTATTGAAAATCAATAAAACTAACTCCAAAATAAAATTTTTGATTTAAAGACACTATGATGACACCAGGCAAATCTTCCAAGACACCTATCGTCGGGAATCTAACAACCCTAATTCTCAGGAATTAAGGGATTTTTGAATTTTAAGAATTTTTTCGAATTTTTCGAAAAAAAAAATATTTGCAGAACAGCCTTAACGGCTAAGATTTAGGAACAATGTTAAGTATCAAAAAGAAAGGAGGTCTGATATAGACAACATATATCGTTGAAGGTTGAAAAAATCTCTAATATTTGAGCCCAAAATTTCAAATTTTAATTTTTTGAAAAAAGAGGTCACCCGTATGTACGTTTATTTGAGAGGAGGAGGATTATATTTTTGAAAGGGTGAAACATTATGAATATGTTAATTATATAATAATATGTATTATTATAAAAAAGAAAAAATAAAGCACGTTAAAATTTTTCTTTCTTGATTTTTTACAAAATCTACTTAGAATTATGCAAAATATGACTAAATAAAAAAAAAAAAAAAAAGGTAGTGGGGCCTCCAGGCACTTCGTGCCCTCTAGCCCCAGTCACTTTTCTGTCACTTTTCAGGAAAAAAACATTTTTATTAAATATAAAATGAATTTTACAAAACCACCGTTACCCTTCTTTGGAAATAAGAGTAGATGTAAAGATATTCTATTGAGAGAACTTAAGAAACTACCGAATGGTCTAACATTTGTAGATTTGTTCGGTGGAAGTTTCTATATATCTCATTTGTGCCATACTGTATTTCCTGACTCAAAGATTATATGCAATGACTTCGACAACTATACGAACCGTCTCAAACATATACCAGACACAAACAAAATATTGAGTGAGTTGAAAGAAAAGATACCTATAGGCAAGATGGAACGTATACCATTAGATAAGAAAAATACTGTCAGAGAGGTTTTGAAAAAAGCAGAGTATATTGACTGGGATAGTATATCTTCTAGACTATTATATAGTGGTGCTATAAGAGTTCATGACATTGAAACACTTATGTCAAAAGTTTTATATCTTAACTATACAAAGGTTTTCAAAGAGAACATAGAAAAATATACTGAGGGTATAGAGTTTGTGAGATGTCATTGGACAGAGTTGTATGAAAAATATAAAAACAAGGAAAATGTTTTCTTTATAGTGGACCCGCCGTTCTATAACACATGGGATTTTCAATACCAAGTAGACTGGACTTTGAGAGACTCTTTAGAAACTTTAGACGTTTTACATAACCATCCATGCTTTTACTTTACATCCGATAAAAGTGGTTTGGAAACCGTTATGAGATGGTTAGAGGACATACATGACTATGATTTTAGATACGATAAGATAGAATATGAGAGAGGTCCTATAAACTGGAGAAAGTGTCACAACAAAGAAATTTTATTGGTAAGTAAATGTGGTTTGAAATAGGACTACTTGTTTTAGGTTTTTTCCATTGTGTCATTTACTTATTTGACGTGGCAGAAAGATATAGAGAATATGAAGATGAACCAATACCAGCAAATGTTCAGCATATGTACTCGTAAGAGATATTTTTATCTAATATTAAATGGACGCACAGAACTTAGCGAATGCACAGCAACCTGGACAACCAAACCCAGAGAATATTCCAAATGAAGTTAGAATACAAACTGCAATGGCAAACTATGGTCAAGTGCCAACAGATGTACAAATGCAAACTGCCATGTCAAATGACGCTGCGTTAGGTTTGCCACCATGGTATGCAAATATGAGATGGAAAGAGTTTTATACAAACCCTGAAGTGGATATAAACAACTCTATGCAGATGACGCGAACACAGGAGTTGACCCGGAATATGTTTTCTACCAGAGGAGAAATAGAATGTATGAGCTCCAGTTAAAGAATGCTATGGAACTCAACAGGAAACGTAAGAGACTAGGTGGACATTAGATTTTTACATATAGTAAAATGGGTTTCTTTGGAAGAATAGGAAACTTCTTTCGAAATGTTGGAAGAGGTATATGGAATGGAATAAAATCTGTCGGAAGAGGAATTTGGAACGGAGTCAAAAATATTGGTAAAAGAGTAGGTCAGTTCGTTGGTATTATACCTAAAGACCCTGAACCAGAAGAACAAGCTCCTGTTATACAACAGCCTGAACCTGCACCACAGTCTAGTTGGCAACCAAATCCAACACCTCAACCGTATTAAAATTATATTTTTACCGTTCGATAGTAGTTGTATATGAAACTAAGTTCTAAGTAAAACGCATGGTATAATGGAACTATTCTCTTTCTTCCATCTGTTGTAAACCATACTTGAAAGTCTGAAATACTTCCACTCGGTGGTTCATATAGCTTTGTAGGTTTTTCGTAAAAGTCATTTGCCAAGCATAAAAAAGAGTTTTGTGCACCAGAAAATGAAGCATGAACGATAATAGCATCTGAGTCGAAAACATTTTCATATGTTCCATTAGGGTTTTCGACTTCATAAAAGTTCGGGTGTACTGGATATTCTGCAGGCTGATTTAACATCCTCAAAAATCTATACCATGCCAAGTTGTTATATTTTGTAGAAATATAAACGTTGTCTCCAAGGTCTTCTATTCTATTGATTTTAACAGTTGCATTTTTCCTGTCATAAACAATATCGAGATGGTATTCTCCTTCGTCAATGTTATACTGGTTTGCATATTCGATATAGATATCGTTTATTTTTTCTTGAAAAGCTTGAAGAGTTGTTTCTAAGTTTACAAGCAAATTCACTTGTAAAAGTTTTCCCTGTTCAAATTTCTCATACGTACGTTTTTCTTTGTTATAGTATCGAACTTCAAAACCGACCGTAAATGGGAAACCATGTATGGCTTCTGAAATGAACTTCATTCTACGAAAGCCAATAGCTTTTGTGACGGATGGGTCTCTTAGCCATCTTAGTGGGTAGTCAAAACGATAGCCTTCATGCTTTACGGTCTCTGTCTCAAACTTTTGACCGACATTCGTAAAAAGTTCATCTAATGGTTTAGTTGTAGCAACTCTTGAATTTTCTTTTTCTATTGGAAGCATTTTTTATCTAGAATAAAAATGTCGAAAGAAACAGCGTCTATGAGAGAAATACAACACAACCGACAACTCATTTTGCAAGCTCTAAATAAGAACACAACAAACTTTTCAAACTATTCTAAGATATCTGAGTCATTGAAAGAAGGAAACTTAAAACTGACATTAAACCCATTGACAGACGAGTTTCTATTTCAAGACAGTAAGAACCATACTGTTTGTATAAATCCAACAAAAGGAACTTTAAACGAGAAACCTATAGATGAACTTCTTTTGAAAGCAGATATTGACAACAAAGCTGACAAAGAGTATGTTGACGATGAGTTAGCATATCTGGCTAGTGGGTTAGTGAAGAAGGCAGATAAGGAATATGTGGATGAAAAAGACAATGAAATTATAGAAAGGGTTGAATGGTACCATGAACGGACATCGAAGATTTTAAAAGGTAAAGCCAATACAGGGTGGGTTTCAGGATGTTTAGACCTTAAAGCGGATAAGAACCATACACATACCATTGCAAATATTACAAACTTACAAGAAAACTTAAACAGTAAAAGTGACGTTGGACATACACATACCATTGCAAATATTACAAACTTACAAGAAACCTTAAACAGGAAAAGTGACGTTGGACATACACATACCTTCTTCTCAACTGTTGGTATAGAAAGTATTTTAGGAACGATTGAAGAAACTGGTGGGGGTGGATTATATTTTAAACCTCCTAACTTTCCAGAAGGTTTAACATCGGATAAAGACATTAGATGTAGAAATGTCTATGTCATGGAGGATGAAAAAAAAGTTAAATTCACTGCTCAAGATTTATATGATAAAAAAGCTGACAAAACAGAGCTTCAAACGTTAAAGACAGAAATACTTCAAACAGTATATCCTATAGGTTCTATTTACACGTCAATGAACTCTACCAACCAGAAGTAGTACTTGGTTTTGGAACTTGGACTCAAATAGTCGACAGGTTTTTGTATTGTGCAAACTCTTCAAAGGAAACAGGTGGAAGTAAAACGATTTCAGGTGAAAACTTACCTGCACAGTCACTACATAGATTTAAGTACATCTGAAGCAGGTTGGCATAAGCATAGATTTTGGGATTGGTCAGCAATGAAAAAGGTAAAGGATATGATGTTAAAGACGACGTTCAGTTTGCTATAAATTGTTCTGGGGTAACACAGGGAGAAGGAAACCATACACATCGCGTTTCAGGGTATACGCAAACAACGGGACAAAGTAAAGACTACATGCCACCTTACATGACAGTTTACGCATGGTATAGAAATGCTTAGTCGTCATTTTCAACTTCTTTAGCATATTCGTCAGGAGTTGTCTTATATTTGTTAGGAACTGTCTTTGAAAGTATACCACCTTGAACCTTAACAAGTTTGAAACGAGGTCTGACAATAGTAGTTTTATCTTCTGCTTGCAGTCTGTACATTTTGCCATGTTTGCCTAAAACTTCATAATATTCTCTTGTATACTTTCTTCTATTTTTACGAACACGAATGTGAGTACCTGTCGAGTTCCCATTGTTGTCATAGTCAATAGTATTTTCATATGGGTCGCGTTTAGGTATTTCTATTTTTACTTTGTCACCTTTCTGAAGTTTGAAGCCTGGCATTCTTTCTTGTTTGTCTCTTTTGACTAAACTATTAAATATATAGTCTTTCTCTAAGTCGGGGTTGTTTTTCATTTCTTCGGGGGAGTGGTTTCCCAAACCTTTTTGTTTACGGCTATTGTAAATATTTAAAACTTGTCTCATCTTTGCCATGGAGAAGTGTCTATACTTGTCGTCATATGACATTTCATTTGCTTCACCACCTTGTGGTTGGTTTAAGTCTCTTAAGATTTTTATACAACTGTCAATGACACCAAGAGCAGAATGGTTTTGGTCGACAATGAAATATTGGTTTACATTTTTTGAACGCAGATAGTTTTTAATATCGTCTGATTTGAAAGAACTTTCACAGTCAGATGTCAGTTTTGTTGGATGGTATTTGTCAACGAATATTGTCAAAGCAGTTTTCACATCTAAAATATTTTTGGACCATAATGGTATGGCTTCACAGTATCTTGTGTTTTGACCGACAAATATTAGCCAGTATGGTGGTCCATCTTCTCTATACCTCGGAATGTTTTCCAAGATATCCATAAACCAAGCATTTGGTGTTGAACTAAAGATTTTTACCATGAGTGCTTTCTTTGTGCTTTAGAAACATACGGGTCCTTGTTTGAATTCGTCATTTTTAACCCATAAGAAATGGGTTTATTTGGCGCATTAGCAGGAGTCGCATCTAGATTTTTGCCCGCAGTGGGAACACTAGCCAGAGGTGCATTTGGAATTGGAAGGAAGATTTTGAGTACATTAGGTATACTGAAAGAGAAAGCACAACCTATTATACAAACGTACAGAAAGGTTGGGAGGTAGCACGAGATGCAGCAAATCTTATTCCAAATCCTGAAACAAGAGGAAAAGTTCAAGGATGGATGGACAATGTAGGAAGACAAGCAGGAAACTACTATAACAAAGCAAATGACTACTATAACCAAGCAGGCACTACATGGACCAAGGTGAAAGATTCTTTAACAGAGGATATAACCATGCACAACAGTGGGTAAACAACAACCAACCTCAACCGCCTCAAACGTGGGGAATGTAAAATTTTTTACTGAGATGAAATGAACAATACAGCATTGAGACAAATGGGCTCAAGATGGCTTTGTCGGCTTCCAGCAGTTACACAACCACGTGTTTGTCAAGTTCTTCCTATACCTCAGGAAGTTTTAGACCGACTTAAAAAACCTCAACAACCAGTTGAAAACAAACCAAACTAAAATTTTTTACTGAGATGAAATGACCGAAGAAGTTGAAACGGTAGATTTGACACCACAAACAAAAAGTTCAGAACCATTGTCAAAACCTGTCAAAGAACTTACAGATGAAGAGAAAAATTCAATAATAGAAAGTGTGAGGTCTGGAAATACAAACCCTAACTACAAAGTCACTTTTCATAAAAATGGAACGGCAAGTATCTCAAAAAAGAAACAGACTCTCACAAATAAAATATTGAAGTCTGAAGGAGCTTTCGAGACAACAGATGGAAAAGTTTACTTCACTGACCAACAGTTCATTATAGAACATCTCATTGACTTAGAGTCGAAATATTCTAAACTTTACAACAAACACAAAAAGTTGAAAGGAAAACAGAAACAAATGGCATATGATATTTATGAAGATGTTGACGACACAACTGAACCAGCAAGTGAGGTAAAGTCAGATGAACCGAAAAGTGACGAAAAACCAATAGAAGAAGGGAAGCCAAAAACTGAAGAAAAACCAAAACCAAAGTTTAGTTTAAACTAAACCAAGTCAACCTTCATTAGCTGGTATGGGTTGGCGTCAAAGACTTATGGCCGGTGGTTATGTAAAGTAAAGAAAAAACATTTTTTTATTTTTATAAAAATGCCCCCGTATAGAATGGATAGAAATCTGCTAGAATAAAAGCAGAGTTAGAAAGATATGGTTGGAGAGTTTCAAAGAAGTTTAAATATAGGAAGGGAAGACCCATAAAAGTCTATGACAAACTGTCTGGTCTCCTATGAAATGGACTTAGAAACAGCACGGCAAATTATCCAAACAGACTTGAGAGGTTAGAAGAAGACGTCTTATGGACATGCCTTTCAATGTTATGAACCTCAAGTTGAAGGACACGACGGCTTTGCCAGTTCTACTGGAAACATGACGAACAATTGCATCCTTTGAGAAGGAAAAAAGGAAAAGGTGAAGACGCACATGCTCCCATGGAAAGAACAAGATATGCATATGAAAGTATCGTGAAGTTAGAAGTAAAATTACATCTGGTCGAACCTTTACAGTAAACTTTGACGAAGGAAAGAACAAAGAAGGCTTCATGGGAGTACTTGCTGCCATACAAGACGGAAATAAGAAAGGATACAATCTCAGACTAACCGTAACAGATTTAGATGGTCATATATACTATGCACATGGCAATGTCACA